GTGTGTGTGATGATGTTTACATGCTCTGACACCCTGCCCTCACCCAGTGTTTACATGCACCCACCCCCTCAGAGGAATGAACAGCAAAGTCTCTTCAGGCGGATTCACCACCCTGACAGCGCCCTAGCCATTGTGCCTCCCTGCTCCTCTCTCTCTCCAGTGACCTTCCTGACAATCCTTTCCATTGCTCTGGACAGACCTGCATCTGGAGGCTACCTGCCAGCCCTCACTCGGATGGGGCGACTGTCAGCAATTAAAGCACCCTGTTCCACAAAGACGCCTCCTTTTATAGGTGCTGTTTCAGTAGCTGAATGATCTAATCCCCCAACCTCCTAAACTGTCGCCCCCCCCAGCTTTTTAATTGGACTCACTGGCTCCAGGCAATAAGAATGAAAATAAATGAAGTGTGAATGAATTGAATCTTCTTCCCTTTCCACCCCACTCCCTCAGACTGCAATTTAATAACAAACATTCAGCTTCCATGTGCTTCCCTCCCTCTTAAAGGAACAGACCCTTCTTTAGACCAGGGAGAGGCAGAGCTCTGGTCATGTCATGGTGAAAAACTCAGTCTCTGGCAGAGGTGATCTTGGAATGAGATGCAGCCATGAGGGTGAATTCGCTGCCTTCCCCAGGATGGCCCTAGCTCTATCAGAGCTTCTTACCAGAGACCAAGGAAGAATTCTGGGGAGACTGTCACCAGAGTTCAGCTTTGCTTGTTATCTCTCACCCTGTCATCTTGAGATGACGAGAAACCAATGCCTGGGGTTTAAAAGCCATGGCAGGGTTGGGCTACCCTTTCATTCTCTAGTAGCATATATTGTACATAATAATGGGTTTCATTCAGACATCTGCATACACGTATGCAATGTGTTTTGATTATTTTCACTGCTGATCCCTTTTCCCAACCCCCCCCCATCTACTGTCATATCTTTGTTGCTGATTCCCTGTGTTTAGTGCAGGCTGCTTATTAATAGATGGAGTTATTTATGTGAACATGAACACTGACCAGTGCCTGGCTATACCACTGAAGAAAATGTCTTTCCCACCCCCAGCAACCATCAACTGCCTGCAAAGACTCAGGGAGAGGCGGGGCCATGTGAGCTCCTGCCCTTCCATCATGGAGTGTTGAAGGTCTCAAGACTGGTCTTGAGCGAGCTTGTCTTGTGAAAGTAATCAGAGGAGCTGTGAGCAGCAGTACAGCACCCATGGTGCACACAGTGCTGGGCTGTCTCTGCACTGCACCTTTGGATGGCTGCTGTCCCCACAGCAGGTCTTAGCAGAGGCCGAGGGTCTCTGGTGGTCCCACGCTTTGCTGAGCTCGGGAAGTATCCATAGCGTTTGTCTGCTGGGCAAGCCTGGCTTCCCTCCAAGCCTGAACCCACCACAGTCTGTTGCACAAGGTGGCCTACCAAAGGGGGAGAACCCCAAGTCACAGCAGCTAAGTCATCAAGGACTCAAGGGCAGGGACAAAAGGAACAGTGAGACTCAGTTGGTTAATACTGCAGAAGATCATATATAACAGTGGGGAGAATAGAGTTTTTCTCATAGTCCATCAACTAAACATGTCTTGTTTTTATTACCTATTTCCTTCTGGTCTTTGTCTGGTTATATAAATATTTGCTGCCAGCAATAATCATGGCATAGATTACATTTTTTGTTATGCTCTTTCATTTAACATTTATTAAAATGTTTTTCCATGTTCCTACATTGTTTTTAACTGCTTTTAGTGACTACAAAATGTTATATCATTATACTTTATGCCCCATTGTTGTATATTTAAGTCATTTTAAATACTTTATTGTTATAAAAGTAGACTTCCTCTTTCTGTTTTTTTTTATTTCCTTTAGATAGCAAATTAAATTATTGGGTTGAAAAGTATGTGTATATTTATCTTGGTATGTAAAGCCATTTTCATTATGAAACTATAATATCCATGAACAGTGCTACAGTCTTGGTGGGAGCTATAACTTAAATGCTTAGACAGTTCAATAACAGCAGTTCAGTAAAGACAATTATGAGCCCGATTATGTGACCTTGCGTGGCATCGAGTGAACCATGCCGTTGTGAGGTGGTGCTGAGGTGAGTTGCCATCTGTATCCTGAGCATCTCTGCTGGCACTCAGTGGTTTGAGTCCTGTTCTTGCAGAGAACACCCCACCCCCTACCCTGCTGTCAGATCAGTTCCCAGCATCCGTGTCAAGCTGCTCACCACTGACGGTAACTCTGACTCCAGGAGACCTGACACCTTCTTCCGATCACACATGTGTGTATCCAACACAGATACACATGGACATGTAATTAAATATAAATATATATATATATATATATAATCCCCTTTGAAAAACGCACAGATACTTCCTGAGGTATACCCAAATGAATGATTTGATTTTGCATATAGAGGTGAAAAGAATTCCACAAATGCAAATTTAATATGTGTTGCATACAGAGGTGCCCCCATAGACCTTATAGTGCTTATATGCCAGGCACAGTGCTAAGCACTTGGCCCGTCCCTCAGTAAATTCACACCGCTTCTTTATTTCCCCATAAGTAAGCTGGGATTCACTGCCAGGCAGTCTACCTCCAAAGCCTCCACATTGGGCCTTCCAGAAGTTAGGGTGAGAAATGGAGACAGAAGTGAGCAGGCAGGGGCTATCCTGGTGATGGTCAAGCGGTGGACACAGACACCCTGACTGTCGACATGTGAGACGTTGGAACTCTGTGGGAGTGTCTTTGGTCTTCAAATGCTTTCTCTCGCTATTGTAACATGCGTGGGGAAACGCATGAGCAAATGTGAGAGACCACACGTACTCTGTCACCTTGTTGCTGAAGACTTTCTGAAGCTGGGTGTTGCTGTTTCATTTCTGTTCTAAGATGCTGTATCCCTGCAGAGGCTTTTTATGGTTTGGGCTCGTGAAAACGTTTTTCCCATTAGTATCTACTGTTTAAAAAAGTCATGAACAACTTGCAGTTTCATTTGAACCGATGGTTCAGAGATAATAAAACTTCATTTAATATATTGTAGATGGATTTAGTGGGTTTGAGTTTTGGATACCCAGATGCTGAATAATGAATTTGCATAATTTCAGGTGCCAAATAGGGTGAGCATTTGACTCAGTCTGTTCAGGCAGGATGCTTTTATTAGTGGGTCACCCTCTACTGATTTGAAATTTTATATATAGTAGCAGTCTAATTCTGATCAGAAACAGTAACTGAGGAAATCCAAGGAGGACTGTTGACTGCTACTCCCTGCTTCCAGGCCATACACTTCTCCCAGCTCAGAGTTCTGTCTTTATCTGGGAGTGTAGGCAAGTGAGCTGATGAAATGAAATCATAACCACAAGAAAACAACCAGTTCATCCCAGCAATACCTTGTCCATTAGTCACTTTCAGTTATGGTCTGAACGGGCTACAGATAGCTTAGTTATCCTGAGACATGGCCTTTGGCAGTCTTCAGTTTAGCAAGAATGTTCTGTTTCAGGATTTCACTTTGTGGGTTCAGCTTAGCTGAGTCTGTGAGGATAATGATTCACGGGACTAGGTTCAAATATAGGTTAAATATAATTTATTTCGGGGAGAAGTCACTTACACAAAAAGCAGATGGCCGCCACAGGCTCCCACTCTCAGGATCCTCACAAGCTGCTCCTGGACTCAAGAGAGAGCCAGACATAAAACTCACTCTCTGTCGCGTCCGCACCCGTGACAGACATAACCACCATGAGTGTAAGGGTTAATATTGTCACCTTGATGGGATCTGGAATCACTTGGAGACAAGCCTCTAGGCATACCAGTGAGGGATCTCTAGATCAGGTTAATTAAAGTGGGGAGGGCTACATTAACTGTGGGCAGTCCCATCCCATGAGCGGGGGTCTTGGGTTGAACGAAAAGGGAAGTGCCATGAACAGAAGCATCCGCTGATCCCTGCTTCCTGACTGGGGACACAGTGTGTCTGGCTGTTTCCTGTGTCATAATTCCCTTCCATGTTGGACTGTGCCCCCTGGAGCTGTCAGCTGAAATAAATCATTCCACCCTTAAGTGGATTCTTTCAGGTGACTAAAACAGTGAGTGAGTGTGGAGAATGGAGTAGACGTGTCGAGGTTGCCCGCAAGAATGTTAAGTCGTGTCAACTCGAACTACTGAAAGACGATGTTTGATGTAAGCATTTCTGCCTGACACACCATCTGCCGTGAGGAGTCCAGGTTCCTCAGACTGGAGTTAATTGGGCCCATCTTCCTGCTGTGTTTATTTCAAGAGTCTAAAATCAACTAGCATCTTTTTTTTTCAGTCCAACCATCCCAGAGAACAGACTGGCAACTTTATTCATAAAATCGTATCTGACATTACTAGGAGGCACAGTCTCACAGGAAACTCCTTGATGCTCTGCCTCCTACAATCTTTCTGCCCCCTCTTCCATTGTATCTATTTTTTTTAGACAACAAATATATGTGTTCTACTCTTAGTTGTAGTCCCAGCTACATGTAGTAGCATGAAGGTGAGTGTTCGGTACGTACTTACTGAAGAACAAATGTATAAATGTGGTTGGTAAACTCTGAATGTTTGCTTGCGGTTTGTTCAATGGTCTGTAATAGGTTCAGTCATTGAAGAAGGAACCTTGAAAATGGCTATGCCCTAGTAACCTGCAAAGACAGCACTTTGTGCCAATGCTGCCAAAGTCTGCAAAGGACAGACTTTCAAAAGTTTCAGCCTCTGTTTGAGACAGGGGTTCGATGTGTAACAGCGCTAGCTGCCTCTGTAGACCACACTGGCCATGAACTCACCGAGATCCACCTGCCTCTGCCTCCCGAGTGCTGGGATTAAGGGTGGGCACTACCACTGCCTGGTGGTTTCAACCTCTTGGCTGGTTGTCCGGCTAACTAAAAAGAGCCCACAGAGGCACAAAGGCTAAGGTCATGTGACTAGCCCACAGCTTGACTTTAGAGCCAGAGAGTAATGGATCTGGAAGCGGGGTTCAAATGCACACTAATCGTCTCTTGCCTTCCCCAGCACTGGAAGACGCAGCGCAGTGAGGAGTATGAGGCAGAAGGTAAGAGAGCCCTCGGGTGGGCCGGGGCTGCTGAGCAGGGAAGGCCCAGGCGGCCATGGCCAAAGCACTCTGCAGCCACTGTTCTGCTGCTTGCCCTGGAAGCTAGCTGAGCATTAACACTAGGACCAACAGCGCCAAGAAAAAAACCAAAAAACATTTTCAAGTGGCTCTTCCAATCGTAGCTACTAATATTGTGTGAAAGATGACTCCTTGGGGTTTCTGTTGCTGTGAAGAGACACCATGACCATGGCAGCTCTTACAAAGTAACAGATTTCACTGTAGCTGCCTTACTGTTCAGAGGTTTAGTCCATTATCATCATGACAGGAAGCATGGCGGCATGCAGGCAGACACGGTGCTGGAGAGGCAGCTGAGAGTTCTACGTCTGAATCTGAAGGCAGCCTGGAGTGACAATGATACTGGCCAGGCTTGAGCTTCTGAGACCTTAAAGCCCACTTCCTAGTGACACACCTCCTCCAACAAAGTCACACCTCCTCCAACAAGGCCACGTCTCCTAAAGTGCCACTCCTGTGGTCATGCTGGGGGTCATTTTCATTCAGACCACCACAGCATCTAATATGCAGCAGCCCCCTTACAGACCAATTACTCTCTGTTCAGACTTTCAAAGGAATTTGTGAACATGTCAACATAAATAGTAGCCTGTTAAGTACACCCATTGCAAGTGTCTAGTATTTATCATACTCTTGAAGCAGAACACATTAATCCTGTGGCCACCAGATGGCACTGTGGTTCAGCAGCAGGAGACCTCAGCTTGCTTTTCTGCTTAACCCCAGATGGGTTTAATTGCGCTTAAGCATAATTAAAACAATGTGCTCTCTGGATCTCCAACCTGGACTAACAGGACAGTAATGGGTTTAATTTCTGTCAGTAAATAGCAGGAATGAAACTAAGCACTCCTTTCAGTCCTCCATGGTTCTTCCAGGTGCATAAAATAGCGCCCATAATTATCCCATGTGATGACTTCATGGGCGGTCTCACATTTACGTTACCAATTTAGAGCAGGATGCTTAATGCCGGTTAAATAAGTCTCGGTGTTTCAGTAAGCGGTTGGATCCTGTCTTCAAGTGGATCTTACCCTTCGTCTGCAGATACTAACAGACTTGGAGCTTGCCAAGTTTTCCTTCAAGTTGCATTCTTGGGTTTCTGTGGGTCAGGAAAATTCAGGGAATAGATGAACCTTAAGAGGTTCATTATGATTGCTTCCTTCCCAGGAAGGAAAAGATGCTATAATGCTTAGACCAGAAAGGAAACAGAAATAAGAGATTCTGGAAGCCTCAGTAGAGGCATTTGACCTTGTATATATTCATGTGACATAATGTTCTTTTCTCATGGGTGACTGTCCCAGAGCAAAAAGTGCCTCCAATTTATAATGGGACTTCAGTACCAAATCAAAACAGGACCAATATTCATAGTTGTCTCATACAATATATATTTGGGGGCTGGAGAGATGGCTCAGTGGTTAAGAGTACTAATTGATCTTTCAGAGGACCCAGGTTCGAATCCCAATACCACCTGATGGTTCACAACCATCTGTAACTCTAATCCCTCCATGGGCACTATCGGTGCATAGACATACATGCTGCAAGCCAAACACTCATACATGCAAATGTATAAAAAAAAAATTGAAAGAATTATTTCCCAAAGGTACGTCTTCTGTAACAGGCACAATCCCTGTGCCGTTGGAGATAACACAATATATGCTCTGATTTTAGGTCAGCTAAGGTTTTGGAATCCAGATGACTTGAATGCTTCACATAGTGGGTCTTGCCCTCCGCAAGACTGGATAGAAGAGAAACTGCAAGAGGTTTGTGAAGATTTGGGGATCACTCGAGATGGTCACCTGAACCGGAAGAAGCTGGTTTCCATCTGTGAACAGTACGGATTACAGAATGTGGATGGAGCGGTAAACACAGCATTTTGTTCTGATTTTGGGGGTAATAGTGTGGATTCCTGATTAGTGAGATTAGTGGATTCCCTTTTCCTAGGAAGACATTCTATTTGTACACTCTTCTGTCTTTGGGAAAGTCATGTTGTGTGGCAGAAACCAAAACTGATGTAGCCGAGCTTCCTGAATATATAATAGGCCCCCTGCTGTCCCCTGCTGTGCATGTGACCTCATCTGAGATGACCAGACAAGTTCAACACTGCCAGCACATAGTTGTAGGAGCATCAATCAAAGAGTAAAATGTGGGGAAACATGGAGGAAGAATTAGGGAGTGTCACAGCCTGGAGTATTTTGAAGGCCAGGCTGCTGCGTTTTCAGTTTTGGAAAGATCTCAGAGTCATCACTGGGCCCTTACGCAGACTGAGTGGTGAATGGGACAGGTGACTTCAGCAGCCATGGTTTGAAGTTTGCATACCAGTGTGCAGGGAACCTCGGCTGTGCAGAACAGCCAGATTCTGACTATGAGGAACCGGGGTCGAGTAGGCTGGTGGGTTTGAAAGCACGGAGAGTCTTGAAGCCCCCAGAGAGCTCTTGATGTTAAGATTCTACTTCATGTCTTTCTGAAGAATCGAGAGAAGATCTCCAGGGTTAGTATGTGAGCAGCCGGCTGTAAAGCACAGAGAAATGCGTAGTATAAGACACGTCTTTCAAAAAGCTACACGTAAAGATTAGGAGGAGTTAGACGTTAGGAACACCGGCATTGCTCCAGAATCCCTGATTCTAATGATATTTGACTCCACACTGGCTGCCTCTGTGGGGGAAAGTGGTAGTGTATTCCTAACCAAGAGACAGATCACTAAAGTTGCCAAGTAGCCTGACTTGCAGAAAAGTTTGGCTTTTGATTTTTTTTTTTCGTTTTCTCATCCGATGTGACCATTACATAAGCCCTCTGACAACCTTCGTAATATCCCAGTGTTCATTTACTTTTCAACAGTGGTTATTGAGTCATAAAATTAAATTAATTGTCCTAATTTCTGAACCAATGCGGTACAAAGAGCCTTAGGTTGGTTTTTTTTGTTTTGTTTTGCTTTTGTTTTCTAACCGAGAGACATCACACAAGCTTGAATTGTTGACCTGAGAACAGCACTTGGAATATAAGCCACAGCCTCTCCCAGGGAGCTGGCTTGCTTGTCTTCCGCTGGGCCTGTTAAGGCCTGAGATGACAAGCAGAGCTTTCTGCTCTTTCCCTGGGCTATGCAGACTAGGAAGGCGTCACGGAGCGCGTTCCTGCCAGTGTTTCCACCCCCTCCCACCACGAGGAGTCAGGAGATGTCCTGCACTTTGTGTCCTTAGCTCGGAACTGGAGTGGAGTTTAAGCTGGTGTTATTAGCTCAGGACTTGGGATCCTGGAATTTTACACCTGAAAGAGCTCGAACTCTGTCAGTCTTTTGCAAAGGAAGCCAGTGAGATCACTGACACCCCATTTTTTTAGAGGGAACTAGATGTGTTCTTTGGTTGTCACTCACACCCCACTTTCTATATGTGAGGACAGTGAAGAGGGCAGGGCTGGCAGACTTGTTCCCCCGAGTCAAATACATCAAACCCAAGGACGACTTCCATTTGACCGGTGCACTGTTTTAAAAGTTGAACTTTGAGGCAGCTCTTTGAAATGGGAAGTTTTCCCTAAATATTTGTAATAGCAAGCGGGAGCCATCGTCTCTGGAGACCACAGGTAGCCGTGTGCCCGGCAAGCTTAGTCCTCACCACGTGATTTCTGACGGGGGAAACCTCCCTGCCTCGGTCACTCATATAATCTTCCAGGCCCCTGTGGGTGTCCCAGTTCCTGGACTCTCTCCTGGTACATGTTTCTCACCCTACACACGGAGAAGTCAGCCGCCCACAGACCAGTGTGGCAATGACAATGCGCTTGTTCTAGATGGGACCCCTGTTTCCAAAGAGGGCAGGCCCCTCAGTTGCTCATGTAACCAGCATTCTCTTGAGCCCAGTCCTGACCATCCAGCCCTTTCTAAACTCACATCCTTTCACCCGCCACCTCTCACCCGGAGTGAGCTCTGACTGAAAATAACTGGCGAGAGTCTACTGCTTCTGCAGTTTGAATGGACTAAGTGAGGACTGTTCAGGCCACTTAGAAACCACACTGACTGGGCCAAGGTCAAGCAGTATAGGTATACTCCGTTGGTATGTCTGGATTTCATGGGCATTTCTGGTTGGACGGTCCTCAGAGCCACTTCCTCTAGGATATAGTTCTTTTGATTGGTGAGATGAGACAGAAGAGTTGAAGGCTTTTGGCAGCCTGAGCATCTCGTCTGACATGCCACTGATCACAAGATCAGTTATAGAACCTGTCATTTCTTCCACAGATTTTCATCTTCCAGAAAAGTTTCCTTGTCTCAGAATCCTCTCCCAAATGAAACATATGTCTCCTGTGAATTGGGAAAAGGCATTTGAGATAAAATTCATTAGCATACTGTCTTCTTGCTTCTCAGTGGCTTGGACATCCTGTGGGAGCCTGTTAGCAGTGCTGTCTCAAGCCCCTCCCTTAGCATGCTACAGCTTTGCGTATTGTAGGATCTCTGCGTGCTCTCTGCTCTGCTCCTGGAGGCCTGTTCCATACTAAACTTTCGTCACACAGAGTGAAGAGGATCTCAGTAGGAGGCCTGTGCCTTTCTGTGATTCACGCCACCCTTTCCCCTTCCCCATTCCTGTGGACTAAGGAACAAGCCACCCCTGTGACAAGCCCCCACATGGGCTGCGGTCCGGTCTTCCTGTTCCCTGTTACATGATGAAAATTAGATGATGACCATCGGAGAGTGCAAAATGGAGAGTCACAGTTCCTTGTGATCCTCCTTTTGCACACACACAAGATCATTCTCAACCAGTCTTCGTCTTTCCTGGGCTAACACATTAAAACACAACTTTAACATGTTCCAAGGAATATCAGTGCAATCTGTCCCGGACCAAATTTGCCATGTTAACATGCTATTTGAGTTTCTTTTCCTGTCGCTGTAATAAAACGTCCTGGAGAAGGGGACTTAAGGGAGAAAGGGTTTTATCTTAGTTACTGTTCTATTGCCATGACAAAACACCATGGCATTTAATTGGGGGCTTGGTTACAGTTTCAGAGGGTGAGTCCATGATCATCATGGCTGGGAGCATGGCCCCAGGAGGCAGGCGTAGAACTGGAGAGGTAGCTGAGAGCTTGCATCCTAATGTGCAGGCAGCAGCCGGAGAGGGAAGAAGACTATCCCTAAGGTGGGCTTTTGCATCCTCAAAGCCCAACCTCAGTGACACACCTCTTCCTATAAGGCCACACCTCCTAATCCTTCCTAAACATTTCCACTGTAAAACAAGCTTGTGTGGGCCATTCTCATTCACACCAGCACAGGTTTATTTTGCTTCACATGCAAGGCACAGTCCATCTTAACATGGAAGTTACAGCAGCAGGGACTAAATCAAGTGGTCGTATCACATTCATAATCAGGAACAGGCAATGAATGAATGTATGCTGCCACTCAGCTCACTTTCTCCACTTGGATAGTTCAGGATCCCGGCCACAATGGGAAGAGCTTCCTGGTTCAGTTAAAACAATTAAGATTACCACCACCACCACCCCTGCCCCCCCCATCCCCCCCATCCCCCACCCCACTCCCGCCGCCCCAGGGGCCTCTCATGTTATTCCAAATCCTGTCAGGCTAACATTAGCACCAACCATCATCACACATGACAATCTGAACATTTCAATATGAGTCAGGTATTTTGAAGGTATAATGAATGTCTAACTAACGTCTTTTTAGGATTATGAGCTGTATGTATTAAGTTTTTTTTTTAATTTATAATAATAATACCAGTGACATTTAAGGCTGCCTCTTCTCCTGGAAAGATGAGAGGGAGAAAAATTGATTGCTAAACTGTATAATACTAAGGAGATGATGAAAATGGACTTTTATTTTGTCTGGGGGAAGGACGTCATTTCTGGAGAGGGGAAGTCTTTTAAATGTGACCAGAGACAGAATTATGTCTGGAGTCTTAGAGTCAACAGTGGGATGGATTTCTATGGGCCAGAAGTAAATTGTGCATGTGGTGTCTGTCTGCGTGTAAAACATGGGCTTGCTCTTCCCTAGATGTTGGAGGAAGTCTTTCTCAGTCTTGATCCTGATGGTACAATGAGTGTAGAAGACTTCTTCTATGGTCTGTTTAAAACTGGGAAATCGCTCACACCATCAGCATCTACTCCCTACAGACAGCTAAAGCGGCATCTCTCTATGCAGGTAAGCAATCAGAGTGCAGGGCCGGGGGTGCTGGTGCGCACCTGTAATCCCAGCTCCAGGGAGGCAGAGGCAAGAGCAGCAATGCAAGCCAGAGGTTAGCGGGGGCTATGTAGTGAGGCCTATCTTGGGAAAAAAAAGAAGAATCAACAGAACAGTTTCTATCAACATATGTGTTAAAACCCCATTTAATAATTCTGGATGGATTAATCTGATGTCTAAAGCAAAATACCAAGAAGAAAAAGTGTTCTTTTCTTTTTTTAAAAAAATAATTTAATTTTACTTTATGTGCACTAGTGTGAGGGTGGCTGATTCCCTGGAACTGAGTTACAGACAGCTGTGAGCTGCCATGTGGGTGCTGGGAATTGAACCCAGGTCCTCTGGAATGGCAGCCAGTGCTCTTACCTACTAAACCATCTCTCCAGCCCCAAGAAAAAGTATTCTAGAGAATGAGAAAGACTAAGCCATTAGAAAGAAAGGGTGGCTTGAGTAATGGCCATAAATTACAGAGTGTGAAAGCCACTAATTAGGCCTCTTGATGACAGTGTGGAGTTGAAGAAACCGAGTATCAGGTAGACATATCATCTGGTCTATGGCCAACTCTCCCAGAACAGTTCTTTCTGATAAGCTTGTAGGCTTGACTCACTGGGAACCGCAGATCAAAGGTGCAGCATGGCTTCCCTACTCCTACCCCCAGCTGTGTAAACTCAGTTCTGCCAGGACTGGCAGTCCCAGTCTTAACCAGTACCCAGCTGACTTTCTGGGGCCCACCTTAGTGTGCTTAAGACTCTTTCTCCTTCAGTCTTTTGATGAGAGTGGACGGCGGACCGCAACCTCGTCAGCCATGACAAGCACCATTGGCTTCCGGGTCTTCTCCTGTTTGGATGATGGGATGGGCCTGGCATCTGTGGAGAGGATCCTGGACGCCTGGCAGGAAGAAGGCATTGAAAACAGCCAAGAGATCCTGAAGGTGGGGCAGCTCAACTGGCAATCCCAGGAAGGGGGTGGTCACTTTATCTTTTGAAACTCATTTGACTTGATTTTCCCTGAATGACTTAATGTTCATGAGATCTCAGAGATAAGAGGTAACTTTTCCTGCCTGCTTGAACCAGAAACCTGTGGCTAAATAGGTTGATTTTTTTTTATCTCAAATTACTGACATAAGAAAGCTCTTAGCCAATCTTGGTGGAGTTTGAAATTATACAACTGTATTTGTTTATAATGTCAGATGGGATTTCATGAACGCAAGCTTGGTTTCCATAGGAAAACCATGCTCTAGATGAAGCTGTCCCTGAGAGGGCCCCTCCTGGTCTCTAGGCTGGCTTCAGTCTGCATTTCCACAGCCTCCACACTTACTGCTTTTTGAAGCTGGGGCTTGGCATTTGTTTTTACTCTGTTGTATTCTGATTCCCAGGCCTTGGATTTCAGCCTGGATGGAAATGTCAACCTGACAGAACTGACACTGGCTCTTGAAAATGAACTTTTGGTTACCAAGAATGGCATCCACCAGGCAGCTCTGGCCAGTTTCAAGGCTGAGATCCGGCATTTGTTGTAAGTTGAGCAGAAGGTTTGCCTGGCCCATGCCCTTGACAACTTGTCTCCAGTGCCAGCATCACCTGGTGCCTTTTCCTGTCCACGGTGTGGCCGTCCTTCATGTCTAACTGTTGAACAGTCAGCCTCCTCAGCCGAGGGGAAGCCGACTGGGGTTCCGATTGGCTGGAGCTTTTGAAGGGAACTCTGGAAGGCATTTTTGTTTGGGGAAGGTTTTGGTTGTCTTGGTTTTGTGTTTGTTTTGAAGCGAGCCAGATGAGAGCTTTCTTGGGTCTCCTGGTAGCTTAGAAACAGCCCTCCTACTAATTCACTTGATTTCTTATTCTAGGGAACGAGTTGACCAAGTGGTCAGAGAGAAAGAGAAGCTGCGGTCGGACCTGGACAAGGCAGAGAAGCTCAAGTCTCTGATGGCTTCCGAGGTTGACGACCACCATGCTGCCATTGAGCGGAGGAATGAATACAACCTCAGGTGTGGTCAGAGGGCAAGGCCATGGTCAGGTGTGGTCAGAGGGCGAGGCCATGGTCAGGTGTGGTCAGAGGGCGAGGCCATGGTCAGGTGTGGTCAGAGGGCGAGGCCATGGTCCTTTCCCTTCCATGTCTCGGACGGAACCCCCATTCTCTCCCCTCCCCCCCTCAGAGCAGGAGCAGAGCCAGGGGTCACATCTGACTGCAGAGGCCCAGCCTCTGGGAGGGCAGGACACGTTAGGCATTGTCAGTGTGCTTTCTGAATCTGTTCCTCCCTCTCCCGTTTTGGAATCTTCACGTACTGTCCCTGCGGGGCATCTAAAGGCCACCTATTGATTTGTCCTTTGTCACAGGAAACTGGATGAGGAATACAAGGAGCGCATAGCAGCCTTAAAGAATGAACTCCGCCAGGAGAGGGAGCAGATCCTGCAGCAAATGAGCAAGCAGAGGGCAGAGCTGGAGCGGGAAATTGAAAAGGCCAAGACAGAGGAGAACTACATCCGGGACCGCCTTGCCCTCTCCCTGAAGGTAGGCTGTCCATTATCTCTGTGGCCTGGGTCCTGTCCGTGTTGGGTACCACACAGAATGGCCCTGCTCTCCGGGAGCACAAGTCTGCATAGGGCTGACCCAAGGGTTCTCATTGTCACGGCCAGGACACTTGGTGGCTTTGGACTGCAGGAGGGTCTGGCACGTGGATAGTGTTGAATGTAGCTTCTCTTTCCCGCTGCCTTTACAGCTGCTGCCCCTCAGGACTGGGTGGGGCCTGGCTGACATCCACGGTCCCACAGCTGCTCCCTAAGCCTGTCCTCACCTCATCCTCAACTTCGCTTTCCCCATCCTTCCTGTCCTCCATCCTCACCATCTGTGCCTCCAAACGTGACTTTCCTCTGTGATCCTCCCTCTGCCCCAGTGGAGAAACTACCCTTCTCTTTTCTGAACGCTCATCCCAACTAGTATTGTGCTGGGCCCTCGGGTCCACACAACAATGGAGGAAAGGCCGAGGTAATGCCAATCTCTGCTGTCTCCTGACTCGCTGTAAGTCCCTGAAGTTAAAGTTTCCAGCCATCCCCACTCGTTACCACTCTGAAGTCACGTTGGTGCTCTGAAACACCTTAGACAAACCCCTCCCTCTGCGTTTCCCCAGCCTCTGATTAGGCTCCAAATTCACCACAGCCCTTCAGGTGGTAACGGGCCCCCTCAACAGTCCTTTTCCTCCATGCATCCATCAGAGTTGCTATGACGAGGGGCCCTCGGGTCCACACAACAATGGAGGAAAGGCCGAGGTAATGCCAATCTCTGCTGTCTCCTGACTCGCTGTAAGTCCCTGAAGTTAAAGTTTCCAGCCATCCCCACTCGTTACCACTCTGAAGTCACGTTGGTGCTCTGAAACACCTTAGACAAACCCCTCCCTCTGCGTTTCCCCAGCCTCTGATTAGGCTCCAAATTCACCACAGCCCTTCAGGTGGTAACGGGCCCCCTCAACAGTCCTTTTCCTCCATGCATCCATCAGAGTGAACTTACTAAAGTGGGTACAAATGTGTTGGTACCTTTGGTTTGGCTGCCAAGGGCCCTGCCAGGATGCTCTAACCTCGGCTCCTGCTAGCTACTCCCCGTGCCCTGGCCCTCCACTGCACCTTCTATGAGATCTCCGTTTCTCCTTTACGCTCATTTTGCCATGTCCCCAACACCGCGGGCTGCATTACCTTTCCATTCCCATTACAACTCCTGGTTGTCAAGAGACTGTGCCTCTGCTGTTGTAGCCGTTTGTACCCCCTCCCCCGTTCAGTGTCCCAGGGTGTCAGTATGTGATTTGGTACACAGGGCAGCAGTGAGTGCCTGGAATGCAGGGTTTGCTCCTGTCAGTTCAGCATCTAAGTGTGGCTGGCTATTCTTTCAGAGACTAAAATAATAGAGTTGCCATTTTAGGAGACGGTAGTATTTTGTCGTTGTTTGTTTTGTTTTGTTTTGTTTTTTCTTTGTGTAGCCCTGGTTGATCCTGACTGTCACTCTGTAGACCAGGCTGGCCTGGAACTCACAGAGATCCTCCTGCCTCTGCCTCTTGAGTGCTGGGATTGAAGGCATACACTACTACCCTCCCCCAGTAGTTTTTTTTAATGCTTTAAGTACATTTTTTTAACTCCATATTGCTATGTGAGAGTGTGAACTAGAATACATTAAAAATATACTGGCTCTGTATTCTTTTGGCAAAATGTACTTGGAAAATAACATTCTTCCAATCAGCCCTTAACATTGGAGAAGAAAATATGTCAAATGGCAAGTCTATATTCCTTTTTTTTTTTAACCAAATGGGGGTGAAATCTTTCTAAAATGTACTGTGAAAGATCTTTTTCTTTTTAATGGAAAAAAAAGGTTTGTGAGTTTCAGTCAGTGTGTTATTTATTATGATTTGCTTTTACATATCAGTTATGAACACTTTATGTGTAACTTCTATTTCCTTAAACCAAAACTATCTATAAATTAGCTATAAACTGTAATGCCCATTAATTAAAATTCATTTGGGGTTTACTCTCTTTATAGTTCTTCTGAGTCTCTTGCTATAGGTAGACAAGGTGTCTCTTTTTAACTTTGGCTGGTTTGCTGTGGGCACACAGTGACATGAGCATGTGCAGGTCAGAGGACAACTTTCAGGACCTCTATGTAGGTCTTGGGCATCGACTCCATTTGTCAGGCTTAGTGGCAGGTGAGTGCCTTTACCCACTGAGGCAGCTCATGCCGCCCTAGAAAAGGTATTTATAATTAGTTTCTTATGCTCAACAATTCACCGAGAATATGTCATTTAAAATATTCCACTGTTATGCAGTATAGAAAAAAAATAAAGCCATATGTACTTTCTTTTAAAAAAATGTATTGCTGTCAAAGTAAAATTTTCATATTAAAAATAATATCCATTTGTCACTTAATTCAGTGTCTACAAGGCATTGTCATTTTGAAATGAAATCTGGGAACACAAATTGCTCTGAGCTGTCTTCTGTATTTGTAGCTTACTGCGAGGATCCAGTGTGTATTTCCCTCTGATAGTGTATGTCTCCGTTGGTTCTATCTAGATGTATTCCAAATGCTCAATATCCACATGGGCCTGTTAGTAGCTAAGGTGGGGAGCAGCACAATTTTATAAGGTTCTCGTTAAAGCCAGACTTTCAGATCATGAGCTAGGTATCAACCTTCTAATAATTGTTTTGTTTCTGATTTTCTCCAGCTTTCATGATCTTAATCTCAAGCCTTGGTTTATACTTCATATAAAAGGGTTAAAACTGTTCTGATTTCTGACTTGTGTCATGTTTATTTTTACAAAATTTCTCAAGGAAAACCATCGCCTGGAAAATGAGCTTCTGGAAAACACAGAGAAGTTGGCAGAGTATGAGTCCCTGACCAACAAACTTCAGCGCAATCTGGAAAATGTGTTAGCAGAAAAGGTAGCGCTGCCTACTTCCGACTTCCTGATTAGTTGCCCAAAACGTCACTCACCCAAAAGGGCAGAGGCAATGCCAAGAACATTTTTATTAGGGAACTGTTTGGATACCTACAGGAAGTTGTGACTTCTCAGGATATAATTTAGAGTAGCAGCTGTGAGGGGATGCGTTGCTTGGCAGTAAGATGGGCTCCCTACCCAAGCAGAACACATCGCTCTTGGATGTTCTCCTCCTCTTCCGGCCGGTGGTGTCTCTGCTCAAATGCCACATTCCTGTCATATCTGGGAGCTCGGGTGACACCAGAAACTAGGATCTTTGGAATGTGATAGGTCAAAGAAGGGCCCTTGGGAAAAATGACAGCTTTGTTTTTTTGTCCTTTCTAGTTTGGTGACCTCGACCCCAGCAGTGCTGAATTCTTTCTTCAAGAGGAGAGGTTGGCGCAGATGAGAAATGAGTATGAGCAACAGTGCAGGGTGAGTGGCTGGTGAGAACTAAGCAACACAAGAGGACCTGGGTTCAAATCCTAGCCTCGGCACTTCTTGGCCACATCCACTGAAATCTGTGGGTGCCTCAACTTTCTTTATGCACAGCGGCAAAGGGGGTGCCCACTCAAAGGGCAGCTGTGGAGGTTCAGAGGTAACAGAGCCAGGGACATGCTAAACATGGATGCTAGCTGTTAGCAGTATCCCGTGTCCTGGACTGCAAGTCATCAGGAGAACTGCATTCAGGGCCACCTTATCTGACGACTGTGAAGATCCAGTTTTGTGCTGAGTGAGGAAATATGTGGCTGTGTTGATGTGCTTATTCCAAATTTAGCTCTCACTGCCTGATTATTGCAAACTTAATATGACCGGATTTACTTCTGTCCTATTTCCCTACTCCCTTCTCTGAATGCCTCCCTTTATTTGAAAAATACAAAAACTGGGAGCAGAAACCACTCTAGCATTAGTTTCTAGGCATTCCCAGTGGCAACCAGATACAGTTGCTCTTATGACTAACAGAGGTCTCTGTTTCTTGGCTTGATATTTTTTCCTTAACCCAAATTACTTAACAAGGTAAGTAGCACCAAGTTCTGATTGTTTTAGATAGAGTTTGTATTTGTGCAGAGATGGGGAACTCTGTCACCTCAAAAGATTGCTTCTGTCCTGCCTTCTCGGGAGCTGTGTGTGCATGTAAGAAGTGACAGGCTCTTCTCTACCTCCATGATCAGCTCTTAGGTCTAACCATGTAGCTGTTATTTAATTGTCTCTAAAGTGAATGAATCATCAGCAAACCCATTACTGATACCTTCAGAACTCTCCCAGGTCATTGTTTTGCATTCAAGGTTTACAGTTCTGTCTTTAATTATATTCACACAACTGAGCAACCCTGACTACATTCAATATGATAATGTTGTCATCTCCCAGGAAACCCCCGCTTCCACTTTAGCCAGCCCTCCTGTTTACTGTCCTCTCCCTCCCTTCCCCCTGCCACAGGCAACCACTGGTCTATTTCCTGTCTTTATAGAGCCAGTCTTCACCATTCATAGAAATGGAATCAAATGGTCCTTTGTAATGGCTTCCTTCAGTTGGTGATATTGTCTATGTTTATCATATTGTTGCATGCATCTATGCTCTGTTCCTTCCAGTGGCTGATAAAATCCCATTATATTGATGTTACATTTTATTAATCAGTTAATGGACATTTGGGGTCTTAGGGGCTATCATGAATAAAGAATGCTTCTATGTAGATTTTTGCATGGGTTTATACCTGCAAATGTTCAGCTGGGCCACAAGAGAAGTCAATGTTAAACTGTCAGGAATTGGCAGACCTCCTCCAAGGTGGTGAGGCTGTGTTATTTTCACCATATGAGAGTCCCGGCTCCCCCATGTCTGTCTTTGTTTATAATTGTTGTCCTGGATTATATCATTCTCCTGGTAGCTAACAGTGTTGCAGGTCTTCTAATGAATGTACTTATTGATTGTTTTTCTTGTTTAGCGAGCTGTTTAAGTCTTTGCCCATTTTTTAGGTTTAATTCCTTGTCTTTGACTTCTAATAATCATTATAAATTCTAGCTATAAGTCCCTATCTGGTAGTTAACAGAAATTTCCTCCAATTACATGTATTTTTACTTTTTAAAAAGTAGGTATTTTTATTTTTTGTTATGTGTATATGTGTTTGTGTTGTTTATACACATGAGTGCAGTACCCACAGAGGCCAGAAGAGGGGATCAGTTCCCCCTGGAGTAGGAGTCACAGGTGACTGTGACTCACCTGACACAGACTCAGGTCCAGTGCATGAGCAAGACAGGTTCTTAATCTCCAAATTCTCTCTTTAGCCCCCATATTTTTCTTTCTTGGTTTCTTCTGAAGCACAAAAGTTTATATTTTACTGTTAAAATCCAGTTTGTATGTTTTTCATGTTGCCTGCGCTCTTGGTGCCCCATGTAAGACTGGTGTTGGTTTTTAAACTCCAGCTATTACAAGACCAAGTGGATGAGCTCTATTCAGAGCTAGAAGAATATCGTTCACCAGGCAAAGTATTCAGGCTCCCCTTGAAGAACTCGCTGTCAGAAGAACTTGACGTTAACAGTGGTGGCATTGAACCTGACCAAGGTAAACACATTTGCACACCATCTTTTTTGGTGTCTGCATTTGACCTAGTTTTTAGAACCATGGCTGAGTGCAGCACTGCTGAACATTGGCATCCTGGAATCCAGGGAGGGACAGACTTTGGCAGTCTCACTTCCTGAGCTATTTCAGTTATGGCTGGGTTTTTTTCATTTGTCCTTGAGGTCTTTATGAAAATATTTCTGATTTTGATATTGCGGGCCCTTCCCTCCCCATCATGTCTGCCTGGTATGAAGATGGTTTGGAAGAGCTAGCCAGCCACACACCACAGAACCCATAGCTGATTTTCATAGGTAGGCTGGCTAGGCTAAATGCCTGATTTGCCTCTGCAGAGCAGCAAATGCGTTAGCAGCTAGTGCCTGTGCTTTGAGGGAGATAGTGGAGGGCGGGCCTGTTTGGGAACCACAGTATAGTCACACTCAGCTCTTTGCCTGAGTCCTTCCTCTTTTCCTCAGTAAGTTGGGTTCTGCTGCTCTTTGTAGCTCCCCCTCGCCTTTGGTTCTTAGGTAGGTGGTTTACTCCTTCACTCACCTCTACTGTCGGTGGCTGGGGAGGAGCCATAAGAAGCTGTGACTCCTTTCTCTGATCCTTGACTCATTCACTGGAGCTTGTCCACCAGAGTGTTGGGGGTTCATTCTAAGCAACTCTGCCATCTTGGAGGGGAGATATGCCAAAATATATGAAGAGAAAGCCCAAGGCAAGCCAGTCAATCCCAATTGCTAGAACTTTACCCAAGAATGGTTCTCCATCTGCCTTCACATCTTTCGGTGACAAAACTATTTGAATCTCATGGCCTTGAGACATCTTTACCTGGTAGTAGTTACATTTGGCCTTGTGCTAACTCAGCCCACAGCTTCTGCTCATATTTCCAATTTCCCCTTGGCCCTTATTGTGGATAATGGGAAAAGTGAACTCCCTTGAAGGAGTTGAGAGTCTCCTCCCCAGTTGCCTGCACCCACACTCCATGCCCTATTTGTAACTGATTGTTTAAGGTGAAAATTACCTAGACACCAGGAAACTGTTGTGTGCAGCCTTGAGGGATGATTAGACATCTTGGCTCATGAAGTTTGTTAGGATTCAGACATCTGTCCTGGCCTGCCCGTGGGGTCCTGACAGGATATGCCCTCAACTGCTGCCACTAAGAGCACCACCTGTGCCTATTCACTATGTTCCCTTTTAAAGGGGCCCTATCTATCTCCTACCTCCCACCTCCCTAATCTCTCTCTCTCTCTCTCTCTCTCTCTCTCTCTCTCTCTCTCTCTCTCTCTCTCTCTCTCTCTCTCTCTCTCTCTCTCTCTCCCTCTCTCTCTCCCTCTCGCTCTCTGCCCCTCTTTCCTCTCTCCTGCTGCTCCTGTCCCTGGAGGCTGGTCTCCCCCCCTTTCCCCTTTTCATGATCCCTTTCCCTAGTAAAAAAAAAACCTCTGCTTGAACCCTGTCGCATGGTGACTTTCTCTCAAGCACTGATTTTCTTAAATTACAACAAAGTTAGTCCCATAAGACTCAGCAGCAAAGGGTACTAGTCATTCATTTGCTCCCCTGCTGTATCATCCCTCTGAATTTGTCACTAGGCAGTTTCTGGATAGACAAAAGGCTGGTTGCTATCTCCTTACATGCTGGTTGCATTTTTCCTGAGAGCTCACATTCAACTAACATATTCCACACACACCCATAAATCATCCTAAAAGATGGACTCTCCTAAGGTTTAGCACACCACCTATATTCACCTTGTTCCTCTTGTTGCTCAAATGTTTGAAGAGCAGAGACTCTTCACAGCTTCTGTTGTTTCCAAGTGCTTCTTTCACACATGGGCAGATCTGGCTGAAAAGGATTCCATAGTCAAGCCATCGCCAGATACCAGAGTGTACCAATGAGAGAACCTGAGGCAGGGTCGGTGGTTTCCATGTGTTTTCAGGGCTTGGTTCTGAAGAATGCAATCCACTGAATATGAGCATTGAAGCTGAGCTGGTCATCGAGCAGATGAAAGAGCAGCACCACAGGGACCTGTGCCGCCTGAGGCTGGACCTGGAAGAGAAGGTAAGTCTGCTCCCAGTCTTGCTCTCGGATGGCTGAAAGTCTTGTCAGCACAGTGCGCGCCTGCTGCCTTTTCCTCCCAGACCAGCACTTCCTGTGCATTTCCATGGAGTGGTAGTTTAGGTCAAGGCCTGTTCTGGGATGTGATTTTTCCCTTGGTCTTACTGTGGACAATGGGAAATTGTCCAGCATGTGATGCGCTCAGCCTCACATACCGTAATATACTAATTATAGTGGTTTAAACTTGTTTAAAAATATCCCAATCAGCAAACAAACAAAGCCCTCTCTCTGACGTAGTACCACTACTCGTTTAGGTACAAGTTCTTATCCTTGGCCTTGAGTTCTGTGGCTGCCGCTCACCGTCACCGTGTTTCGAATTGCTTTTTTCTTTCTTGCATGTGGTATGCATGTTTACATGTGTGTGCACATTCGTGTTTGAGAGCAGATGAGTGTTTCGCAGCTGGAGACTGATGTCCAGTGTCTTCTTTGATTGGTCTCTCACTGAAGCTAGAGCCTGTGCATCCATCCAGTCTAGCTAGCCAGCTTCCCCAGGGGGCCCTCTGTCTCCATCTCCCTAGTGCTGGCGTCACAAGTGAGTGCCCCATGCCCAGCTGTTTTTATGTGGGTTTCAGGCTTCAAGCTGAGGTCCCCTTTGCCAAGTGCCACCTCCCTCCCCTGCCTCTGGTGTGTTCACTTGAATTTTGCTGGTTTCCGAACAGCTCTAGCGAGCACCGTGTGGAGACTCGCGTGTGCGTTCTTTGCCTTCACATCTTTCTTTCCTACTGCAAACTCAGGGTCTTAAAGTGCTCCCTTCAAGTCTGCAAATGTTTCTTGAGCTCCATGAGGTACTCTGCCCGCCACGTCAAACGCAAAGTCAGGGGATAGAGTTAGTACAGTGAGAGACCCTGGAGCTTTCTGGCCAGCCAACCTAGCCTTTCTAGTGAGTTCAAAGCCAACGAGAGACCTGTCGGAAAAAAGAAGATGGATAGTGCCTAAGGAATGACACTATGGTTGTCCGCTTGCCTCCACACATGTGAACATACAACTGCACACATGTCTCCTTGTGCATGTACAAACACACTCATGCGCACACACACACACACACACACACACACACACACACACACACACACATGCCTAAATAAATAAAATCAGACCTTGCTCGCTATTATTTCACTTCAGGTAATTTTGAGCTGAGTCACTGTCAATCAGAATGAGAAACCACAGTGTCCTGTGGGACAGAATCACTTGTTGCCTGCACCCTCCCTTTGCATGACCTAGAACGCAGTCATCCCGAGGTTTCGCTGTCTGGTTCCAGGTGCACCATTATGAAAAGCAGTTGGATGAAGCCAGGGTCACCTGTGAAAAGGAGCAGGCGGCCATGAAGCAAAAGTATGAGCAAGGAATTCACACCTTGGAGACACAAATAAGTGACCTTCGCGGTGAGATTGCCGATCTCCAAGGGCAGGCTGTGGTGCTGAAGGAGGCCCACCACGAGGCCAGCTGCAGGCACGAGGAGGAAAAGAAGCAACTGCGGCTGGTGTTTGAGGAGGAGAAGACTCAGCTTCAGGAGGAGCTGCGGCTGGAGCATGAGCGGGAGCTCAAGGCCAGGCTGCAGCAGGCGGAGGAAAGCTTTGAGCAGGAGAGGGAGGGGCTCTCTTGGGGTGCTGCCTGGACCGAAGAGAAGGTGAGGGACTTGACACAGGACCTGGAGCAATCTTACCAGGAGCAGCTGCTGAGCCTGGTGGAGAAGCACAGTCTTGAGAAAGAGGAGCTGAGGCAAGAGCTCTTGGAACATCACCAAAGGGAACTTGAGGAGGGAAGGTAAGAAGATGGGGGGAAACTGACGGAACATGGCAATGCTTCTTTCTGGGGTTCCCGCCGGAGAGGACTGGAGCGGGGTGGGGAGCGGGGAGACACAGCAGATGGAATTGGTTCTTTAGAAGTTAACCCAGTCAGTTTTACCCGGGAGCCTCCCCTGGGGTTACTAGAACTGTTGTGATGTATGTGCACGTGGGGAGGGCGGGCCGTTGGAGGAACTGTTCCTGTATGAAACTTACTGTCTCTCTGTGCTCCGGATGGGGACCAGATCCTTCCTGCTCCGATGCTGTTGCTTTCTGAGAAAAGCTATTTATAAACTGGATTCTGAACATGCTTATATTTCCTCCCCATTATGAAATGCCATCTTGTGTTTATCTTCCTTGTGTGAAATCCCAGGGATAACTGAGAGCTTCTGAGTGCCCCACCTTGTTTAATATAGTGCTGTTTTATTAAACGAGAAGCAAAAGCAGAAGATGGTGACTATTATGTCTGATTTACACAACTGAAATCCTACAATGCCTTCTTCATTCAAATGAAGAAGTATTTCCCAGTTGAGGAGTGAGGTCACTATGTCTTTGGTCATTTCACATGAAAGGGGCCAGTTTAAAGCATTGGTTTAAGCCACATAAGTACATCCATGAGGATATCAAAGGATTTGGTTTTGTAAATTTCCCCCTGCTTTAGTGAAAGGTAAGTTTTCCAGATTTATGGCCACCAGCCTTAGCTCCAGGAGGAGAAAATCCCTTCCCAGTACACTTAAGCCACATAGGAATCGGATCATTGTAAAAGGGGCCCCACTGTTTGCTCGTCAGCCTCCTCTGTGCATGGGAAAATGTTGGGTTGCTTCCGGAGTTGGCAGCAGTTTCAATAATGCTGTATGTTGACCACATTTAGGGAAAAAATGGAAACAGAGTGTAATAGAAGAGCCTCTCAGATAGAAGCCCAGTGTCAGGCTGACTGTGAGAGAGTCACTGAGCGCTGTGAACAAACTCTGCAAAGCCTGGAGGGGCGCTACCGCCAAGAGTTGAAGGACCTCCTGGACCAGCACCTGGAGGAGAGGTCCCAGTGGGAGTTCGAGAAGGATGAGCTCACTCAGGAGTGCACGGAAGCCCAGGAGCAGCTGAAGGAGGCACTCCAGAGGGAGAAGGCAACCGCTCTTGTCCTGAACCAGGAGCGGGAGATGCTGGAGAAAACATACAAGGAACGTTTGAGCAGCCTAAGCATGGAAAGAGATCGGCTGCTGCAAGACCTGGAAGACCTCCGGAACACTTCGGAGAGCCAGCATGGCCTCTTGTCTGACCAGATACTTGAGCTGAAGAGAAGTCAGGAGCGAGAGCTGAGGGAGAGAGAGCTATGCCAGACAGGGACCTCTGAGCAGCCAGCCAGCCAGTGGCTTGAAAGGCTACAGGTAGAGCGTGAACAAGAGAGGCGAGAAATGGTGGGCAAGCTTGCGGCCCTGGAGAGCGCCCACAGAGCGAGCCTTGAGAGAGCAGATCTAGAGAAGGCTGAGCTGAGTGCAGAGGTCCACAGGCTTCAGAATACAGTCAAGGACATGCAGAGGGCAGCGGCGCTTTCGGTGCTTCAGGGTGCTCATTCTCTGGTAATGACAGGGGAGGAGGCAGACGGAAATGGAGCCATGTCCCTGCTTCAGCAAGGGGAGCAGCTGCTGGAAGAAAATGGCGATGTCCTCATCAGCTTGCAGAGAGCTCATGAGCGCGCCGTGAAGGAAAATGCAAAAATGGCTACTGAAATCTCTAGATTGCAGCAGAGGCTGAAAAAGTTAGAGCCAGGGTCAGTGATGTCGCCTTGTTTGGAGGAGCAGATGACTGAGATTTCTGGAAGTTCCAGGGAACAAGCTGAGCCGTTTTTATCACAAGTAAAGCAAGGAGAAAGTCCCACCGCCAAGCACATCCTCAGTGACCTAGGAGACCGCGAGGCCCAGGACCTCGGTAGTACAGGGACAAGCTCTGTTCGGAGGCAGGAGGGAAAAACTGAGGAGTCAGAAACATCCCTGGAGTGCTTTTCTGAGCTTGAAAACAGTGAAGACACCAGGACAGAATCCTGGGACCTGAAGAGCCAGATTGTTCAACTTCAGGAGCAACTAACAGTCTTACGTGCAGACTGCGATCGGGCTTCTGAAAGGAAGCAGGACCTACTGTTTGATATTTCTGTGCTGAAAAAGAAACTAAAGATGATGGAGAGAATCCCCCAGGCATCTTCCAGGTATAAGTTATTATATGAGGATGCCGCTAGAGAGAATGCCTGCCTCCAGGAGGAGTTGAGGCGCATGGAGGCACGCTACGATGAGTCACTGGACAGCAACAAAGAGCTCACTACTGAAGTCTTCAGGCTGCAGGATGAGATGAAGAAAATGGAGGAGGTGATGGAAACGTTCCTTAGCCTGGAGAAGAGTTACGATGAGGTCAAAATGGAAAATGAGGAGCTCAGTGCTCTGGTGTTGAGACTTCAAGGGAAGATGGAGAAGGTGCTGGATAGAGCCCCCCTGCACTGTGACAGCTACCCCTTGTGGGGAGCCCCTTCAGAGCACCTGGAGGTCATCTCTGACGAAAAGGTGCTCGAACTCCGTCAGACTCCAGAAGAGTATACACCCAAGGTCATGAGCGTGCGCCACCTCCTAGAAGGACGCAGACAAGAAACCCAATGCTGTGAACAGGGAAACACACGCCTCCTTGCTAGAATAAAAGCGCAGGAAATTGCCTGGTTCCACGGGACAATCCAGACACATCAAGAAAAGCCCAGTGTGCAGAATCAAGTTCTCCTGGAGGAAAGTGCTGCCCTCCTAGGCCTTCAAGACTCCCATCTTCACCATCAGGTCACACTCGCAGAGTTAGAGCTAGAGAAACAGAGGCTACAGGAACTGACTAGGAAGCTGAGGGAGCGAGTCAGTACGTTAATTAAGCAAAAAGACGCCCCTTCTCAAGGAGAGAAGGAGGAAGAGCTGAAGGCGATGATGCATGACTTGCAGGTCACGTGCAGTGAGATGCAGAGGAAAGTTGAACTTCTGAGGTAATGTATGTGCCTTCTAGACCTCATGGAAGCCCGCAGAGCACCTGGTCAAATCTAACTGCCGCTGCTTGCCGTGCCTAGAGACACTAACCCGTTAGTCTCAAGAAGAGCAGTGTTCTAGCCTTCTCCGCTTCTGTGTGTATTAACAACTAGAGTAACCTTGTCTAGGCGGCATCCCCCTCCGCATAGCAAATCCATGTTGTCCCCATGGAGTATGGAAGCTCAACATGGCCAGTGTCTGGTATTTAACCACGTGCGTAGTCGGTGTTCAACCTTAGCCCTCACCTAGCACTTACACCCTTCGGGTGGATAGATAGTTTTGCTCGATGTTAGCTACTGTCCTCATTCCACTGAAGCATGTCATATGGAATGAATGCCTTTTGTGTAGTTTTAACTCACTTGGTAGATAACATGCTATTCTTATACTAATATAGGAAATGTGTTGATTGGATTATACTTTTTCCTTTCATACTTGAAGTGTATGCTAGATTCCAACAAGCAAGTAGTTACCAAAGGCTAATCCATATTCTTGAGGGATAAAGACAAAGTAAGCCGCTTTGAACAACTACCAACCTGACTTTATGAAATAAGATTGCATTTTAGTATTCTAGCATCCTTGGGTTTTTCTTTAATTTGTAAAATATTACATTGTGTCTGAAGCATTTTAGTGGTATATAACAAAAATAATTCAATTGTGAATGTGTGTTTCCTTTTCCCCAGATTAATTTTACATCAGAACCCCAGAATACACTGCATATTTTGGTGTGCCCCCTTGGTTTACGTAATGCATTTTCTTTCTTAAGGTCCCTGGGGGCCTAAACCAAAGCTCTGACAGCGTAGTTAATGTGGCTTTTGTCTGTTCAGAGCAGGGAAGACGTGAGACCGAGGTAAATGAAGGCCGCTGTTCAAAGCAGCCTTCTTGCCACTGAGAAGTCAACACCAGCGTTGGCTTTGAGTCTGGATTCCTGTCTCCATGTTCAAGGATTTCTAGCCACACACTCCTGCCATGTCTTTTAGTGAGATTCTTATTTCCCAGAAGTAGTGACTCAATATGTTACAACTTGATTTCCAAGTGCCAAGAGACTACTAATTTAGACGTCTACTTTATCTGGCATGAAAAGCTTTCTTTATTGGACGTTACTAGAAAATATTTTCCAAAGATGCCAGATGACTGCCATGTTGTAACATTTTTTTTAAATCTCTACACTTCAGATATGAATCTGAAAAGCTTCAAGAGGAAAATTCTATTTTGAGAAATGAAATTACTACTTTAAATGAAGAAGATACCATCTCTAACCTGAAATTAGAGGAATTAAACGGATCGCAGGAAGAATTGTGGTAAGACATAGATAGCGCACTTAAATTTTACAAGGACTGAGAACTATTTAAATTATATTTTAAAGGCCTCACTCCTGAATCATGTTCTCATTGCTCCTTTAGGCAGAAAATAGAAACTGTAGAACAGGAAAAAGCTTCAATTCAGAAGATGGTCGAAAAATTAAAGAAACAGGTAAGGAAGCACTTAAAAATTTCCCAGTATTTCTTGACTCTGAAATTTTCTTTGTTTTTTATTTGAAATTTACAAACTAAATAGTAAATAATAAATAAGTAGATTAGTAGAATAATATATTGTATGAGATGGTGAGGTTGACAGTGGAAACATCTCATAGTGACTCTAAACTAGGTCCCTGCCTTTGGAAATCATGTATAGTCTATTTATAGATCCTCAAGTTTGAAATACAAGCTTTATACCTAGTATGCATGGGAAAGTAATGCCTTTGAGCCTTACCTGTGAATACTGGTTCTAGCCTTTATGAAATTTAATTAATGTCATCTCCTTCATTTTTCTGATTAAAAGCAGAAGATTTCAGACAGAATTTCACAGCTATAGAATGCCAGCAGATCTGCATATCATTTCACAGACTTGTAACTTGTTCAGATGGCTTATGCCATTCAATGCTCATTTTGTATAATCTTACAACATGTACTCAAGTATGGAAGGCCTGTTTAAGAATATATCTGAAATAGTCCCAAGACAAGGACATACTTGGGAAAGGAATATTTTTAGTGTCTAAAATAGCCAAGGTAACATCCAAAATATATCTTGTACTATTTCAAATAAGTGGCAGAACTCATCTGAAAAGTAGTCTATAGATATGAAGGATCAAATCACAGAAAGACATACCATTACATGCAGGATGGCTAGCTTCAGAGTGTTAGGGAAATTTATATAGTTTAGTTTTTTTAAACCTCCTAAACTAACAAAAGTTAAACATTGATACTGTCCAAGAGAATGAGGAAATAAAACTATACTGTCAAGAGAACGCTGGTAGCACCTATAGGAAGACTTTGGGGGCTTCTGTATGGGGTTCCTTTCTAACCCAGCAAGGGCATTTCTAAACAAACCCAGAAATGCTACCATTTTGTTGTTAATAATAAAAAGAATTGATAATGACAAATGTATATATTTATCTATGCAGGAGTGGATAATGACAATATGAGAAACTTTTTTGCATAAAAATGTCCTGCATTCATCAAAATATATACCACATGGTGCTATCTAGATACACTAAGTTGAAAAGATGACATCTCTATGATATCCTAAGTAGAAAAAGCAGGTTGTTCAAACATGCAATGATTCTTTTTATCTCTATTTTTATTTTTTTTCTAAACATAAGGTGGTAGTGTGTGTGCATAGAAAATGACCTAGTAGTATGTGTATTCAACTATAAAGAACAGGGAACCCTGTGACCTCAAATTAAACTGTGTCTAACTTTTTCACATACTTCTGAACAGACTGAATTTGTAATGAGCATGTGCTATTTTTGTTATTGTGTATGGTTAAAAAAGCACACAAAGGAAAATAAAATTTATTACAAAAAAGATATAGAGTAGGTTTGTCCTCCACAGCTGCAGTTCGTAACCTGTGGGTCTGGACTCCTTTGGGGGTCCAGTGGCCCTTTGACCGGGATTTCCTAAGATCATTGGAAAACACAAATATTTACATAAATCACAGTTATGAAATAGCAAGGCAAATAATTTTATGGTTGGGGGGTCACGACAACATGAAGAACTGTATTAAAGGGTCACAGCATTAGGAAGGTTGAGAACCATTGCTCCACAATCAGGTAAGAAGCAGGACTTCCCTGTGGCAGAGTAGCCTCGTACACAGATTTTTTTTTTTAAACTTTACATTGAGAGAGGAGAAAAGTCTCTAAATACGCTTTTTACTGTTATAGCAAAAGTAGGGCAGCAATTTTTTAAAAACTTATTTCCATTTTAATTAGGTTTCAGATTTAAAAATCAAAAACCAACAGTTGGATTCAGAAAATACAGAACTCAGCCAAAAGAACTCCCAAAACAAGGAAGAACTGCAAAAACTTAATCAACGTCTGTCAGAAATGCTATGCCAGGAGAAGGAGCCAGTAACTTGCCCCTCTGAGAAATGGGAACAAGAAAACTCGAGTCTGAGAGAGGAGCTGGATCGATGCAAAGTGCAGGTGGGGTCTCCAGCCACACTCAGTCCCGAGAAAGAAAAGGAATTCCTTATCCAAAAGGCTGTAACGATTAAATCAATATGGTACTGGCACTTTAACATGTGCTCCAGATATAGCAAATAGATGAAGGGAATAGAACATCCCCCAACAAATGGAAAGAGAGCTCAGGGAAGCATCTGTAAGCTATGAAAACACATTTGTGAATTCATCTCAGCTGTGATCAAAAATATCTTGTTTTAAAAAGTATTATCTATGCCAGATATGCACAGATTTCCTTTTTGTTGTTGTTATTCCCCGAAGAACACAGGTAACAAGTATTTACATACAATTACATTGTGCTGCTGGAGATGAGTTGAGCCTACAAGTGAATGTAAACAAAACTTCTATGCAAATACTGAACAAATTTAGAAAGGATCTTGAGCACCCAAAGATTTGGCTGTCTTGGGTAAGAGGGTGGCAGTCCTGGGACTAATCCCCCATAGATATCAAGAGAAAGTGTGTGTAATCAAAGTGTTTTTTTCAAGTCACTGGGGTCAAAATAGATTTTTGTTTAAGCACCTGGAAAATTGGGCAGATATTTAGGAATAGATTCCGATTATAGACATAAACCCCAACCAGAATCAAACACTACATACAATAAATAAAACCATCCAAATACCAGAAAAACTCATGGGTGAAGTTGTTTATGCCCCAGAAAGAAGAGATGCTGTCTCTCTGTTAAAAACAGGCAAATAAACAAACACCTTGAAATTAGGACAGTGCTGGAGAGGTGGCCAGTGGTCCTGGCAGAGGAAGGACCTTTGTTTCCCAGAACCCACGTGGCAACTCACAAACCACCTATAACTCCAGTTCCAGTAGATCTGATGCCTCTTCTGACCCCCACCCCCACCCTGGGCTCATGCACCCATCTGGTGTGTACACAAGAAAATAAATTTAAAATAATTTTTTAAAGAAGAAAATAATTAAGGACATAAGAAAAATCTGGTAACAAAGTGGGGGAAGAAAACAGGAACAGAGAAGTTTTTTTTTTAAGAGTAAAATGACCCTCAAAGTTTCAAAAAGATATTCCGAATCACTCATAATTAGAGAAATGTAAAATAAACAGTACTGGCATGTAGTTCCTCACTTGAAAGATCAGTATCTATTTAAAGAATACAGCAGCATGTTCTGTTGGCAAGGCTGGGCTGGCAGACATTCTTATACATTGCGGTAGTCAGTCATTCACTGACACCATCCATGCGGAGGTAAATTTGGCACTACCTACCTTTTGTCCAACAATCTCACTTCTAGGAATTTAGCCTCACAATATCCCTGCAGCAATATGAAAGTCATACGCGTGGGTTTATGAATCCCAGCTTTGTTCATATCTGCAAAGTTGTAAGAACAATTGAGATGTTCATGCACACAGCAGTGATTGAATTAAGTGTTGAGGCTATAGCCTTGTTATGGGTAGTCTTCTATAACTATTAAAAATGGAGGAACACAGCCGGAGATGGTGGCGCACGCCTTTAATCCCAGCACTCATGAGGCAGAGGCAGGCGGATCTCTGTGAGTCCCAGGACAGCTTGGTCTATAGAGCGAGTACAAGGCCAGTCGGGGCTGTTAGACAGAGAAACCCTGTCCCAAAAAAACAAATAATGATAATAACAACAATAATAATTTAATACATAAAAAGAATGAGAACAATCAAGATGAGTTCTGGGACATGATGTTAATTGGTGGCGGGGCTACAAAGAGTGTCAACACTGTGCTTCCATGCTTGTAAGTGAAAAGAGAGACATTAGAACAGAAACATGTGTCTGCCCGCTTATGTAAAGAAGCTATAAGAATGATGACCCAGACACTAAGGCGATGTTGCAGAGCAGTTGGGTGGGAAAGGCGTGGATAGTGAAATGGGCATTGGGGAGAGGAAGAGAACAATGCTCTGTTGAAGTTATCTTTGAACAGAGCTCTGACTTTTATACGCAGGTGTTTCATGGTTTTTGTTGTTGTTTTGGGTTTTTTGTTTGTTTGTTTGTCTTGCTTTGCTTTTCTCCCACTTCTGGGAGTTTAACCTAGAGCTATGCAACAGCGAGGCAAATGCTCTACTACTGAGCTACATCCACGCTCTGTTTCACACTGTCTTCATATACTCAAATAAATAAAATCAATCATGATGGGTGTGGGGATACAAAAATAGAACAAAAACACTAGCACACAGAACTGACACTGTGTCTGATATAGCCACAGTTGGGAGGGAAAAAGAATTAACAGTCCATACATGCTTTAATAATTAGTCAGAAATGGTGTTTCTTGTGGGCACACAAGGTTATTTGGTATTTGCTAGAAGTAAATGGAAATAAGTGAATATAGCATAGACCAAGGATGAGAACTATGTTTCTCGCTGTTGGAAAAGAAAGTTGCACTGTCAAAATGTGGAGGGCTAAGGTGAGTCCTCGTGATGTTGGTTCAGGATCTGAGACATTGCTGTGTATGCACAGCATATACGCACAGAGATGGAGAAGGAAACATGGATGTGTTTTTGTGTGGGATAACCAGATCTCGCTTTCTAAATACCATTTTCCTAGAAGAGCACCTTGGAAAAAATTACTAATTGAACTTGAAATGTCCCATGGTGCCAGGCAGAAAAAGTGCTAAAACATAAATAAATAAAAAGTGAAAATAGGTGGCTCAGTGGTTAAAAGCACTGACTGCTCTTCCAGAGGACCTGGGTTCAATTCCCAGCAACCACATGGCAGCGCACAATGGCCTGTAACTCCAGTTCCAGGGGATCTGATACTCTCACACAGGCATACATGCAGATAGAATACCAAGGCACATAAAATAAAAATAAAATAAGGTAAAAAAATAATTTTTTAAAAAATTAAAAATAGATCAAATTCAAAAGACTCAGGCCTCCACCCAAGGGAGCTCCTAATAGCCCTGATTCAAACAGTTTGGCCAATGAAATACAATATAGAATGAAATTATTATAAAATTAGTGTAATAGATATCTGAATACATATTAGCATCGATTGATTGAATAAACAAACAGGGGACGCTGCTGCTCTTTCTTATGGAATTCTGACAAATGCGGAAATGAAGGCAGAAAACTGAGAGCCAGCCTTAGGAAAACCCCAAGTGATAGCTATTGCAGCCTGAGGGCACTGGGATGAATAAGCAGAAATCCAAGGAGAGATTTCAGAATCTCAGGAGCTCTTCCAAGAGCTACAGTAGAGAAACATGCAAAGACATGGATCAGTCATCAAGCCCATGCTGTCTTTGTACATGGAAAGCTTTGGAAGATAATTTGGTTAGTTCATTGACTATAAAGGATAAATGTTCTCAGAGCAATGCCATTGAACTGGTATTACTGTTTCCTTGATGGTCCTCTGTGGGTTTAGTGAAGCTTCCCCAGCCAGTGGAGATGTCTGTTACACCCCTGTGGTGAAGTTTCCCCAGCCAATGGAGATGCCTGTTATATGCCTTGGGTGAAGTTTCCCCAGCTAACGAAGATGTCTGTAATATGCCTGATCTCTTTCGTAGACCTCCACTTTAGTGGCTTCTCTGGAGGCAGAGCTCTCTGAAGTTAAGCTGCAGACTCACGTTGTGGAACAGGAAAACCTCCTTCTCAGAGATGAACTGGAGAAGCTGAAGCAGGTGAGGAGCGACATGGTATTTGATGATGTGTCTCCTGCCACCAAACGCCTTTCGCACTGTGGTTGCTCAACCAGCTCAGTGCTTCAAGTCAAGGACTTGAAATACAAGTGTGTTTAGAAGAACTCTGCTTGCTAATTCTCTACTGAAGCAGCTTATTTATATGGTAGACTCTAAAATTCTGTTACTAGGAATCCCAACCATTCCAGTTTCAAAATTTCGTTGCTCTGTTTTCTCCCCACCAGATGAAAAAGTAACATTACTTGGTCTTTAAGAGGGTGACTTTCTGGCTCATGACATCCGTAACTGTTCTTTGATTTCTGGAGACCCTCATGAAGTTGGTCCCACTGGTGTCTTTTTCTTGTGGCAGGTGTGAGTCGCCTGGCTTAGGAGGATATAAGTTCTTAGTGTCTTCAGTTACACTCTCTCACACAAGTTTAATGTGTAGAGTTCGGTATGGTGTTGCCTGCTTGTAATCCCAACACTCCCGAAACTGAGGCAGGAGGATTGAGAGTTCATGATCAGTACAGGCTACATGGCGAGGCCCCGTCCCCAAAAAATTAGTGTGTTTTGTTTTAGAAGGGTATTTCAGAGTTTCAAACAAAGATTTAATTTTAAATATAGAATAGGGCATACCTCAAGAAAAGAAACTACAGACAAAATATTATCCAGTCCTCTTTATTTTCCTTATGTGTAAGGGTATCTCCATTGTACCAATCTTGTTTTATAATTTAGTTATTCCATTTATTTGCCCTACCCTTACTATTTGTACCATCAGATGATGAAATGTTCCTTCCTACATCTGTTCTCCCTGTAAGCATAAAGTGTCCTTCCCTAAATGCCATAAGAGTCTTAACAAGGTTCACATTGCACCTGCACCATATGTCTTGTTTGAGCTAATCACTAATTGACTCCCTTACCTAGTATAGAGTAAGGCCCTCAAGGCGCTCGTGTCTTTGGTAACGCTTCTCACAGGGCTGGCACCAAACAGGTGTCTTGTAAGAACTTTCTATACCAGGCACTAATCTTTCCTGCCACAAGTAGAAACTCCATTTGTTCCATATAACATGCTAGAAGCTAACACTCATGGTCTCCCTGTGAGGTGAGAGTAGCCCAGAGCCATTGCTACCAAGTTTGTTGTAATTAACTCCAGTACCCCTTTCCTCCTGTACCTTTGAATGCATGGCTTGCTCACCCTTTCAGTGGTAATGACCAACCCATATGCACGCCATGTGTGATGTGAGCCAGTCAGTCCACGTGCACACCATGTGTGGCGTGAGCCAGTCAGTCCACGTGCACGCCATGTGTGGCGTGAGCCAGTCAGTCCACGTGCACACCATGTGTGATGTGAGCCAGTCAGTCCACGTGCACACCATGTGTGGTGTGAGCCAGTCAGTCCACGTGCACGCCATGTGTGATGTGAGCCAGTCAGTCCACGTGCACGCCATGTGTGGTGTGAGCCAGTCAGTCCACGTGCACACCATGTGTGGTGTGAGCCAGTCAGTCCACGTGCACACCATGTGTGGTGTGAGCCAGTCAGTCCACGTGCACACCATGTGTGGTGTATGCTGTGTGGCGTTGCTGAGCTACATAGCCCCAGAAAAAGGAGCAGTGTTGGGAGAAAGCATGAGGAGGACATCACTTGGCACATTTTATTACACATCCTTCCCAGGGCATTGGTATAAATAGATGGGAAAACCATGAGTCCCTATGTGCACATGGTAGGAAGTCATTTTATCATGAAGATTCTTGATTCAGGTTGTGTCAGCTTCCACCTCACCCTTGCTGCACTGCAGCTTGGACCCGGAAAGTTTTCATAATTTAGAGTTCTGGAAGCATTAATAACATCCAAGGAATCAATATCCCCTGTTAAGTTGGGAAATTAGTATTACTGAATGTAGTGGGTACAGCCAGAGATGCAGTAAAACATCCTACAACGGACAGGAAGACCTGTGCAGCCAAGTTCCCAGCTCAGAGTGTCACTGGTACCCACGTGGACACTGAAAGGAACAAAAGCAGCCTGGATTGCCCCCGCTCTGCAGTGGAGAGAAGGAAACCAGCATGTCCCCTCCGATGGCACACTCCTGGGAGTCATTAGGCTTCTGCCAGGGCAAGGGCACATCATTCACCCACATGCTGGCACTTGTTTGTGATAAATACCAATCCCCTCATTTGGTTTTGGTTTTGAAATAAGGTCTTGATGCGTATCCCAGGCTGGTTTCCAACTTCCAATATTCCAGCCTCCTGAGTGCTAGGATCGTGGGCATGTACAGCCATGCCAGGTACTTCTTTTTTTTCTTTTCCTTTTGGAGACAGGGTCTCATAAAGCCCTTGTTGGACTAGAAACAACTGTGTGTGTAGCCAGGACTGTGCAGTGGCTTTCAACCTTCCTAATATACCTTTAATACAGCTCCTCATGTTTTGTGGTGATCCCAACCATGAAGTCATTTTCATTGCTACTTCGTAACTGTAATTTTGCTACCGTTAATTGGAGATAGGGGATTGCCAAAGGGGTTTCCACCCACAGATTGAGAACCACCGCCCTGAATCTATCTCCACGTCCCAGTGCTGGGATTACCATGCTCAGTCAGTTCAATGGTCCTGGCTGAAATGGTTTGAAAAAAAACATTTGGCCAGGCTTTGGTGGCACATGACTTTAATCCCAGCACTCGGGAGGCAGAGGCAGGTGGATCTCTTTGAGTTTGAGGCCAGCCTGGTCTACAGAGTGAGTGCCAGGATAGGCTCCAAAGCTACACAGAGAAACCTGTCTCAAAAAAAAAAAAAAGAAAGAAAAGAAGGAAGAAAGAAAGAGAGAAAGAAAGGAAGCATGCATTTGAATACCTTTTTAAAAAAGCATGATGAAGAAATGTAACATGTGCTCCACAAGCAGAAGTTAAACTGATGGCAGGAGGGCAGTGTGTTATTTAACTGTGATAAGGCTAGGACCATTATTTAGCAACATCTGCCTGCATCGCTCTAAACAGACATTTCAGTAGTCAACTAGGGAACAGTGGGAAGCTAGCTGGGAACAGTTAGTTCCAGTTAATTATAGGCTGCTAGAGTTTATATGTCCCTTGAAATACGTCCAGATAGCAAGGTTTCAGGGCCACGCAAGTGCCCCGTTTACAAATACCTCCTTTTCAAGTTCGTAGTGTAAACATAGCTGGGAGGCCATGGCAGAGCTCATTTCTTTCATCTCTCTCAGCTGCACAGATGTCCTGATCTCTCTGACTTCCAGCAAGAAATGGCTAGCATTCTAACCTACAACGAACAGCTGCTGAAGGAAAAAGAAGCTCTAAGTGAAGAATTAAACAGCTGTGCTGATAAGGTAGTAAGAACAATAGGCGTTCTCATCCTTGTGGAGTGTGTACGGCAGCAAGCATTTCCCCATGGGCTGTGGCCGCTGGGCTTCCTGTATTGGACCAAAGTTATAGGTGGAGTTATGTGACCCTAGACTTAGTGAAGTGGAGATCATGGCATTGTCTCACTTAAATATGTCATGATGCTATTTATGCTATTTAGGAATAACATATAAAGCACTATGCTACATAATAGAAATACGGCTTTTGTCCTCTGAGATCTGTTTTATAGACAAACACTAGTTTTTCCTATTACATTTTCACGAGCGTAGGAAGATGTTACTTTCCTTGCTCTGCCTGCCTGGTAGGCATTCTTTATTTTCCTGTTACAGTACACTCTTGAGATTTCCAGTTGCCTTTGGGCCCACTTCCCGCCCCAAAATAGGAGACACTGGGGGGAAAACAGAAAAAGGAAAACTCAGCAAGGACGAGAAAGCGGGACATCAAGTTGAAGAGAGTCAGGAAAACCCCACCTCGCACATTCTCCCTGGTCTGCTCCTCGAGGCAGACAGGCTGATTCTTGATGGTAATGGTGGACACCCCCAACCCCTACACTTACCCTCCACCGATGCCTGACCTCAAGGCGGATAGACTGGTTCTTTATGGTAGTGGTGGAAACTGTAAACTGGATCTGGATTTTCTTATGAAAATGCGCCCCCCCTTCCCTTCCTGAAACAGTTGGCAAAATCAAGCCTTCTAGAGCACAAAATTGCTACAATGAAGCAGGAGCAGAAGACTTGGGAGCAGCAGAGCCAAAGCTTAAAGTCACAGCTGGCAACTTCTCAGGAAAAGGTGTGTAGACCGCTCGTGCTCGTCTCCTTAATTAGTATTGTCTAGTATTTCTTGCACAGAAAGGCCCAGAATATTCCAGGTGAGACTGGCCCACGTGGCCTCAGGGTGATCCCATGGGACCTCACTTGAGAAGTCTTTACAATATGACAAAATAACTTATACAGTGTGTCCATCGAAGCCCATTGACTCAGGACCTGCTTCCTAGGAAGGTTTAAGGGCAGGACTTAAAGAGAGCTGCTTGTTGGTAACAGGACCGGACTTCTAGCACGAGCACGTGTCCACTTATACTGGAAGTCCTGGATACCTTCCGGCCTTGTACAAATTTAACAGCAGTTGAAAGGCAATTGAATTCTGCAAATACAAGTTATTATTTTCAACCAAGAGGTTTTTTTTTTTTTTTTTTTAAGCAGCACCTCAGACTCGAATGTAATTTCTCAAGACTCACTGCAGGTGTGGTTGACAATGGCAGATGGCCTTCCTTCTGTCCCTCAGCCCCTGGCAGTCAGTTAGATTATATCGGCAGTACCTGGCTTTATCTCTTTCTTAAGTATAACAGCATCTTGTAGATATATGTAACATCTTGAGTCTCCACTGAATTTCTGGAAAGAGAATTGGATGTGGAAAATTGTAACCGAGGGGCCCTGGCATTCTCTTGTTTATTCCTTCCTGGACATTCAAGAGGTGGGACCAGGAATGTTTGTGTCACAAATGCAATTGCTCTTACCATGCAGGTTCAGAATTTAGAAGATGTCCTGCAGAATGTAAATCTTCAAATGTCCCAGATTCAATCAGACCTCCAAGTGACTCAACAGGAGAAGGAGGCTTTACAACAAGAAGTGATGTCTTTACGCAGACAGCTTCAGGATGTGGGTGACAAGGTTATTTCTTATTTTTTCTAATTATTTTAGTCTGTGATTTCATTGTTTTTGCACATATGTATCACAGTGGTTTTTTTGGTTTTGTTTTGTTTTTAAGGTATAGGTGTGCTTGTATGTGTTTACATAGCTACTACCAGGGTCCCACTTTTGTACTCTCTGACATAGGTCAGGGATGTTTGCTTCTGGACCTCATATAAATGGATTTATAGGGTATTTTTTTTAGACCAAATAAGCTAAAGACCATAACTGAATTGAATTTTATAATAATGAAAACAAAGCATTTTCAAGTTTGAATAAGAGCATGTATGGGGACCTACAAAACCAGCCAAGAAAAACATTAAATTAAGCTAGGAACACCCATCTAAAGGGGTGTGGGGGTGATAAAACTACAAAAAAAGGAAACCTCTAGCCTAAGACAATGGTGCTGACTTAGAAGGCAAGTTCACTACTGCCAAATGGTTTACCTCTGTGGTAACCGAAAGTCTAGGAAAAACTGCTTAAAAATAGCTGGCTGGCCTTCCTGGAGCTGTTAAAACACATCTCATTTTAAATATCACAAAGCTGCTAATGTGTACACACATTATTAATAATATTCCAAATGTCTGGTAGATGTTAAAATTTTGTACTATAATAAAAATAGGTCCTAATTCAGTTATTTTCCTCTTGTGGTTGATAGTACTTAAAAAAAAAAGGATAGTTGTTTCAATTTTAAAAATACATAAGGGCTGACCTTTTTCAAACCTTTTAAACTTTCTTTTCTTTTTCATGTCTGACTTAAAAGGTAGAATGCTTATCTAGCTGTGTTACCTTCTTAATTTTTCTGAAGTTATTTTTAGGATTTAAAAAAGTCACTTTGGTGGCTTAAAGCATACTTGAACTCAGGCCTCAGTTTCTAGGACGCTGTGTGCTCTGGAGTCTAAAAAGGGACATGCTTGCCTGCGGGAAAGCTGGGTGGTGTTAGCCTGTGGAAGCATGCAGGTTGCGGTGCCTCTGAATCCCCTGTCCTGTGTTAATCAAAAGAATGTTGCCTGGATTCAAGGAGGGCTTCCCAAGGAGGCAACTTTGAAAGCACCAACTTCTAAACACTTGAGTCCTTTGTAGACCAGGTTAGAGCCCTTCTGTCAGATTTCCTATTGAAGTCCACTGGAATATTTTGCCAATTCTACTTTGAACCTTAAGAGAAAAAAAAATCAAAATCCAAGAGTATCATTTTTTTTATATCTGTATCTATATACACATGAGTCATTCGGTAAACAGGAAACCTGTCTCAAGACAGAAGTGGCCATCAGTTTGCTAGTAAGTTTTAACTCCACAATTTTCTCTTAAGGACTGGCTCTCAGAAACAGCTGCCCATCTCTCAGGGCTCCATGGCCAGCAGAGAAGGCTCTCCTGGGACAAGCTGGATCATCTCATGAGTGAGGAACCGCAGCTGCTTTGTGAAGAGAGCCAGAGGCTCCAGACTGTGGTGCAGAGCACCACAGCAGACCTCACACACTCCTACGAGAAGGTGACTCAAAGGCGGCACATTTTCGAATGTGACTGATTAGATATGAAAACAAACTGTTTGATGTGGTCCAAGCAGTTCTTAGTTATAGACTTGAGAATCCTGTGGTGACAGTCTTATTTTTAAAATGAATAATTTTTCATTTACTTTTATATAAATTCATCTTTATACATTTAAACTATTTTCATTTTATATTGGCAGTTCTATACTAAAATAAATCTGTGGCTTTAACCCCATATTAAAAGTATAGAGTCATGGAAACTATGACATCCATATATTCGTCATTCGAACTGGTTAGATGCCCAGACCAATAATAATGAAATGGCAAAATCAAACTCAGATCTTAAGCATCTGGCTAACACTTTGTAAGGGAAAACTTGGTGCCCCTTCTTAGAGACTCAGCATTTCAAGGTCAGAATAACTTTTTAAATTTTCTGATAACCACACAGCTGACCCTTGTTTACATGTGCTGTTGTTAACCACTTAACCTTCAGCAGCACCTCTGCTGTGAAATTCTCCCTAGAATCACAAATTTCCCTTTAGAAGACCTACTATGTGCAGAAGCTACAGTGGGAATAGGACAGCCACAGTCCCCACCCTCCTGGAACTTAGCAGATGTGGATACACTTCAGCCACCTCTAAAACCCAGGACTGCTGCAATTGCTCAGAAGCCCATCACGCTCACTCGTGGCTCCTAGAAGCTCGGCTGGCCCAGAAGTCTCCTCTCATTTGTCTTGCCCTTACCATGTTGAGTTTGTAAGCTCAACCACATTTATTTAGGAATGTTTATAAATATTTTTTTAAAAAAGAAAGAAACAAAGGAAAAGTAGGTTTCAAGAATTAAACAGTCTGGGCGCTGGAGAGATGATGGCTCAGTGGTTAAGAACACTAACTGATCTTCAGGAAGACCGGAGTTCAATTCCAGTACCCACATGGCAGCTCACAACTGTCAACTCTAGCTCCAGGGGACCTAACACTGGTGGCAAAACACGAAATGCACATTAAATTAAATAAATAAATAAATAAACTTTTAAAAATACAAAATTAAGAAAAAGATGTAAAGAGTCCATGTCTTGCTATGTTGCCCAGTTCAAGTGATTCCCTACCTCAGTCTCCCTGGTAGCTGGAATCACACCCCTCTATCACCTTGCTCAGCTAAAAAAAAAAAAGTATTTTTAAACCATGGAAACCAAGTAGTAAGTAAAAGCATTCCTCGTTTGCTGTTTGTTTTCCTGGCTGGATGGATATATAAGCATTTCTTCCTCTTACATCGCTTTTTACTAGGTTCGTCAACTGGAATCCAGCCTTCTTCCCATCAAACATCAGAAGCAACTCCACCAATCCTGTACTGTAAAACCCACAGAACAAGAAAAATTGACTTTAAAGAGAGAGTGTGAACAGTCGCAGAAAGAACAATCTACTAGTAGGAAGGTGGGTTTTTCGAGTGTAACCACACACCTGTGTTCTGACAAGTGTGCCCCCAGTGTCTGCTTCTCACCATGAGTGGCGGGTTTTGAGCCCACTTCAGATCCTGTGATGTTCTTGTCAAATCAGTATCATCAAGATACTTAAGCTTTCAAGAGGAAGACAGTTCACACACACACACACATTGCCTTAAAATAATTCATTTTAATTGTGTGTCTGTGTGTGGGTGTGTGCACATGAGTGTAGAGTCCAAAGAGGGTGTTAGATCCCCTGGAGCTGGAGTTGTGGTCAGTTATCAGCCACCCAACATGGTTTCTAGGAACCAAATTCAGTTTATCTAGAAGAGCAATATGTGTTTCTAACCATTAGCAATCTCTCTAGCACCTCAAAACTAGGTTTTAAAAGCAGACTTAAAAAAAAAAAAAGAAAGAGAGAAAGAAAGAAAAAGAAAAGAAGGAAGGGCTTTTTGAAGGTCTTGCTAAGAATGGGTAACAGAAATGGGCAGCACAGCATGGTTATCTACCAGAGGAGGAGAACACAGAGTAAGCTGTTGTGGAAATATTTGTTGACACTGTGTGAAGATTTGTCACTGTGATTGGTTTAATGAAAGAGCTGAACAGCCAATAGTTAGGCAGGACTTCCAGGCAGAGAGAGAAACTCAAAATAAATCTAGGCACACAGGAAATGTCAGCAAGACACTGAAGAAGTCAGACATACTGTACAGAGGAGAGGGAACCAAGCCACGAGGCAGAACATAGATTAATAGTTATAGTTAATTTAATTATAGTCATTATAATATATGTTACTTTAGGTTATAAGTATTAGTTGGGAAAAAACCTAACTAAGGTGAATCTTTCATAATTAATAATGTCTCTGGGTCATTATTTGTGAGCTGGTGACCCAAAAGTCTGACTACATTTGGCATCCAACTTGGGCTGTTTAACAGCCCTTGTGGAAGAACTTTCCAATGATACCTTTTAACAGGCTGGAAATTATTATAAACAGGCCCTGTGAAGGTGAATTTTTCTCTATCCTGTTCTTGTAAAGATATAGTAAAAAGGCAGTCTTTTAAGTCAATCATTATAATAGACCATCATTTAGATAGTAAAGAAAGCAAGGGAATTCTGGGCTGTGAAGAGCCCATTGGTTGAATCACTTGGTTTATGACTCTTAAATCTGTTAACATTCTCCATTTTCCAGGTTACTTTCTAATGACAAATATAGGATAATTCCAAGGACTGGTTAATTCGTCAATATGTTGGGCATTTAGCTGCTCCTGTATCAGCTGTTCTAGTGCCTGTAATTTTTCTGATGTCAAAAGCCATTGTTTCACCCATACAGGTTTGTCAGTTAACCATTTTAAAATAGGGATGTGGGTACTTTTGAATGACCAACAGCTGTTGTGTACTACTTATGTGTGACCTGAATGGTTTGCAGCTGTTCTTGATAATACCCTGTAATATTTTTCTCAGAAGCATTCTTTGTTTTATGGTTTGTTTCTGAGATTGGAGGAATATTAATCTGTGTTTTCCATTGATGCAACAAATCACATCCTATAAACTCATTACTATGTCAGCCACATATGGTTTTAATTTTCCTACCTGTACTTCTGGCCCTATGCACTTGACCCTTATTGCACTTTGTTTTACCTGAGATAAAGTTCCAATCTTTAGAAGCTGAACATTTATCTCCTGCAGAGGCCAATCTGAATGCCAAAGTTTTGGTGAAATTATTGTTTCATCTGTTCCTGTGTCTACTAGACTTTAAATTACAAAGCCATTTACTCATATTTTTTAGCTTTGGTCTTTGATCATTTGTAGAAGTTTGCCAAAATACTTGTTTTATGGTCTCTCCCGAAATTCTTGTTTTACTGAAGCTATTCAGGGCCTTGATCACATCCAGAGCAGTGTGGTTTTTAACAACGGACATATAATCTTTTAATTGCTCTGTGTATGAGTTTCTCTGGTGATGACAGAGAATGATTGCACTAGATTTGATACTGGGGCCTGCAGGAGGTCCTCTAAGGTGTTTATGGATGGCAAAAGGTTGTCTTGCCTATCCTTGTTGATCTGCATTCATTAGTCCACTGTCAGCCTTTGCCACACCTTCTGCATAATGCAGAAGGCTGGGATCTTCTATTTGGATTATCTCTGGAAATAAAATTGTTTCTAGGGACACCTTGCCTACAATCCCTTTTCAGATGACCTTGCTTATGGCAAAGAAAACATCTGACATTCTAATTTTTCTTAAAATATTTAGAAATCACTTCTCCTATTCAACTATCATTGTAAGTGTGAGATCCATTCAGCTTTGGTTGTTGATCTTGCCATTAAAGCACTAATCATCCTTTTACATTCTGAATTGTCAGTCTTTCTTTTGGGCAACCAGCTCAGAAATAATGACACAGAGATTTATTATGAATTATGAAAGACTGGCCTTAGCTTAGATTGTTTTCCCAACTAGCTCTTATAGCTTAAATTAACTTGTCTCTATTAATCTCATTCTGCCATGTGGCCTGGTTACCTCTCCTCTGTACCATGTGTCTGACTTCTTCAGTGTCTCACTGGCATTTCCTGTGTGCCTAGATTCATCCCAAGTTCCTCTCTCTGTCTGGAAGCCCTGCCTATTCTCTCTTGCCTAGTTATTGGCCATTCAGCTCTTTATTAAACCAATCACAGTGACATATCTTCACACACTGTAAACAAATATTCTGCAATGGGGAGCTGTGTGATTTTGCAACACTTCTCTAAGGGAACCAAGAAGCTGGAAAATTCCTTACCTCCCAATTAATGTTTGATAAATATTTAGAAACAAATGTGCATCTATACTAGAAAGAATTTATTTAGAAAGCCACAAGAAAAAGCTTTTTATTTTTTTATTTTTTCTTTCTTACTTATGAAATTAAATGGGTAAGAGCAAAGATAAAATTTCTGAAGAATGATTATTTATAAAGCATTAAAGAGACGAATAGTAGTTCTAGATAATGTAAAATTGTATGTGTAGAAAGATGGGGCAATGCTAACTCAGGGGGAGTGGGAAGAGCTGTATTTTCTTAGTAGTTTTTCCAAGTAAGTACGTACTGGGAACTGATTGTGCACATGTACACTTATAGGCATGGCTACTGTGCTGTAGGGTGATATGTATCTCTTGCAGTGGGTGGCAGGGAGTTTAAATTCAGCTGCCTTAGGAAAATCTGGTCTTTGTGAGATGTGGTGGTGAAATCCAGATCGCTTAAATGCCAGCTGTGTAGCTGTGTTCCTTGCTGAGATCTTTTAACATAAATTCATCAGAATACAAGAGAACAACTCGTATGTTTTTGTCTTTGTTTCAAGTGTTGCTTTTTTCTGTATTTGTTTTTATACAGATCAGTCAGATGAGTTCCCTTGAGCGAGGGTTAGAAACAGTTCATTTGGAAAATGAAGGTCTGCGGAAGAAACAGGTGAGGCTGGATGAGCAGCTGATGGAGGTAAGTTTGAGTAAATGACCTTAACTGTGGAAAATATCTATGAGCTGTCTATTAGGAGGGCTAGACATGACATTGAATTCCTGTCACAAACGTATAATTGCCAGGCTTAATTCTTGGGTCTGTCTTCCCAAAATGAACAGTTGTGTTTGCTTAGTTACAGACATAGGTGCCTGTACTGCTTTGCATAATAAAAAAAACTTTATCCCCAAATGTAATGACCAGTATACATCAATAAATGCGAATCACAGGGACTCTGCCTGATACCGTCTGAGGGGTCTGAGCACTCTTGTCATTGGTGTATATGTAACAGTTTCCTTGACATAACCCATCTTACAGTGTTTATGATATAATAACTCTGTCTACCTGTTCAGATGCATGTGGAGACCTGAGAACATCTGTATTTAGTTTTCTTCCAGCAACTGCCATCTTAGGCAGATATAGCTCAGTGGTAGAGCACTTGTCTTGCGTGGTGAAGCATTAGGTTGGAGTCCCACTGATCAAAAAGCAGTGTCCATGGCTTATGGCTACACTTGTGCAACTGACAAATGTTAAGCTGATTTGGAAAAACCCGCCACTGGGTCTGTATTGGGCCCTAGGAACCACAGTGTGCTTTCATGTACTCTTAGGAGACATGGGCAAATGTACAGCTCTCAGCCAGTGAAGACTTCTTTGAGATGCTTTGCTGTAGGTAGAAGTGAACTATAAAGCCTGTATAAGGAAGTGTCCATAGAATTTGTCTTGCTGTGTTCTTTAAATACTATGTGCACACATTTTTGTTTTTCAAGGCAGAATTATAAGAAGGAAGGAAGATATTGAAGTACTTTCTATTTATTTATTTATTGCTTTGATTTTTCAGGACAGGGTTTCCCTGTATAGTCCTGGCTGTCCTGGAAATCACTCCTTAGACCAGGCTACCCTCAGTCTCAGAGATCTGCCTGCCCCTGCCTCCCAAGTGCTCAGATTAAAGACCTGACAAAGTATTTCCTTTATAAAGCTATATATATATATAGCAAAGTAGCTTTAATGCTTAGTTTTAAAGTGATGTGAAATATGGGCAAGCATATCACATTGACATCTAAATGACCCAGTCTGAGGTTTCTGACAATTTTATGTTCTCTAGTTTATCCTCTAATGGGGGGATTGGTGAAACTATAAATAGTGAAATCCAAACTGTTTTCTGACCGCATATAATAAGTGTATTCAAAACTGTGAGTTCAGCCTGTGCTTTGTAGATATGGTTCTCTGATGAAGTACTTACAGACTCTAATTAATCTACCTGAAGCTGAGCTCTGTGTGTCTGGTAAGAAACTGTAGGATGACAGGGTTTATGCACTTACTGCTGGGCTCTGTCCAGTGCTCTACCCGTAAGCTGGTTCTCCACCTCTTCTTACAGGCCCCAGTTTCTATTATTAACTGCCATCAGCCATTTCCTGCCATTCTTTTTCCCTAGTAGTAAATATTTGCTGATAAGGAAAATAAGTATTCCTGGCACTGGAACTGAATAAGGAAAAAGCATGAGTTTAAACACCGAGGAGAACATTTCACACACTCTTCTAAAGAAACTCTCATTAGGAAGCAAGACTGAGTTATTAACCTACAGTTACACAGATTGGATCTTTTTTTTAGCTCCTTTACTTTTCTGAGACAGGATCTAGCCATGTAGCTCAGGCTGTCCTTGAACTTACAGTCCCTCTGCTTGAGTCTGCTGAGTGCTGGTCCTTCAGACACACACCACTACAGCTAGTTTCAGATTGCATTTTTAGCAGCTCTTTTGAGATAATTCATATGCTATACAGTTCACATATTTAAATTGTTTAGGTGTGCTTGGGATGTGTTTTTACTTCTTAAACCTTGGGAACGTGGATATAACAACTTTAACATTTTTAAGTTTCCAATCCAATGACTTTAATTAAATTCATTGTTTCTAAAACCTTTCATCACTCTCAACACTAACCCTTGAGCATTAACCATTCTTCCCACTAGCCTGTTGGGTTGGATTGCAGTACGATTATATGGGGGTTGTGAACAGTGACTTTCTCTCTGCCTGTTGTACTTACCTGAGGGATTCATGTATTCCTTCTTTGCTGGCAGTATTCCCACTTGGCAGGGTTGACGGGTAGTGAGCAGACTCGGAGGTGTTCCTGTATCAGCACCCTTGGGGTCAGGAACTTTGAGAAAAGCTTTCTAGGTGGTTCTTATCTAATACACATACTTCTTTGGGAGAAGTCTCCCACTTCTCTACAGATTAGTTTTAAGGGTCCAGCATAATTAAAGATTACTCGAATGTAATTAACGACTACAAATGAATGGACTGGGATATGGGAGGATTTTTGGCTTCAAACTGACTCCCATTCCTGGGCTTTTTCAACAGTTCAGTAGCTGAATATTCAGTAAGCAGTTTATTTTGAATATTCAAAGGAAGATCCACAGGCTGCCTTCATAGTCCTTTGTCTGCCATGTCACTTGGCAGTCCACAGCTTAGGGGGTTGAACAAAAAATGCTTTTCTCCCGCGTGTCCATGCGACAAGGGATTTAACCTCAGATCTGGTGCTTCCTGGATCTGGATATGGGTAGACCTGGCAAGTTCACAACCAACTGGATTCCAGCAGAGGAGGGTGTAGTTGCAGAATTGCAGCTGTAAGGCCCCTTGGATGTAAAACTGACTTGCAGCAGACGGCGACATCAGTTGCTTGCTCACTTATTCCTTTGTACAATATGGCTACTCTTTCTTATTGTAACTTGCGCTTTTCTTACTCTTCCTGTAACTCCTGTAATTTTCTCTTTGTTTTTGTTTTGTCTGTGGCTAACCGCTACCTAGCACTCAGTGGTTGGAAGTAGCAGAGAAGGGTGCAGTTCTGTGCCTGAGCTAGTGTGTGAAGGTAGCGCATTTTCCTTCAGTGAACGTTCGTAGCATGGGAACGTCTCCATGTTGTGTCCATCCAGTCATTGTTGTTGATTAGGACAGTTGACATGTACGTGGGCAAGAGCCAGTATTCATTTGTCATTTCACTTTAATTGGGATATATATGTCAGTTTACTCAAGGATTCCCCTTAGTATTTAAAGCATTCTGAAGAACAATAGCCCACTGCTAGAAACTCGTGGGATCATAATCCATCATATTCTTTATCCATATGTTATATTTTTACATCTGCATCTAATAATATTTCAAAATGGGCAATGACTCACCTCAGATTTAGAGGTAAGAAAATGGATAGCGGCTCTGAAACTTCATCACATTTCATTGTAATTGATATAAAGGTCCTTTCCCTCCCCACAAGCAGGGAGGCCCTTCCTCCCCAGTCTCCTTCCTGCTCATGTGTGTTGCATGCCTCCCTTTGGAACCTGCGTCTGCTGAATGCGTTGACAGATGAAAAGTAGCATGTTCCATTGACTAAAATGCATTCTTTTCAACTTCTTAAATGTGATTGGCATGTTGATACACTGTGTCCTTGTTGTTTTCAGCAAATACTTTATTCCAGTTCTGGAGTGTTCTGGCCTATGGCCTTATGCCCCACACTTGCCTATCCTGCTGCTATTTATATAACACATATATAAAACTAAGATAGGTTGAAATAGCTTCAGGCTCAATAGTCTTTTAAAAATGTTAATTTGTGGTCAGAAGATTTGGAGCCAATGAGTAGTCACCTTTTAAGAATCTTCATGGATGGTTAGGAAAATGGGGAAAGCTTAAAGCCAAGCCACCTTCTTCATCTTCCCTGTTCCTGTCTCACTTTTAACAAAAGGAAAAAGGGCAGCAGGATGTTCTAGAATCCAAAACTTAGATATTATTTAGATGTGCTGTGTATATTGTGTATCTTGTGCCCCTATAGTCACTCAGGAGTGATGACAGCTTATTCTTTCAAGTTTTAAAATTTGTAACAATGCCTGATCACATGATGTGTTATCTCCAGAAGGCATCGAAAGAGCTCTTCCCACAAGCTTCCGTGGGCCTTTGTCCGCTTTCTAAGTGATCAAGGGCTAGGAGCCCATGAAGGGGTTCAGGGCTCAGTGCTCCCTGCTCGACACCTTCCTTGGCAGAAGTCCCTGTACTGACCAAGCTTTGTCCTTGTCCTTCAGATGCAGCTCCCGAGGTCCACTGTGACGCTTAGCCCACCCTCTCACTGGGATCTGCAGCTGCTCCAGCAGCAAACCTGTCCGATGGTGCCCAGGGAACAGTTTCTGCAGCTTCAGCAGCAGCTGCTGCAGACAGAACAGAAAAGCCAGAACCTGCAGGAAGAGCTTGAGAACAGGACTTCCGAGACCAACACACCGCAGGTACAGAGTGCTTCTCCTGAGAACCAAGCTATCCCCTTCACTGCACCTTCAATAGAAAAATAAGCCAGTCCAAAGGTGGGGACCAGAGCTATGTCCCCCATCGTTGTTCTGTCCAAAGAACTACAGCCCGACATTGGCTTTGGTTTTACAGTTTACTTCCAAGCTCTCTGCTTATGAATCAGGCAGTTAAGCATGCTGGGTCTCCTTTGCACACTGGGACATGACAAAGGACCAAGGTGACTTGTACATAGTACATAGTTGGCCTAACATTCTTGTCTGATGCCCAAAATGTCACAAACTCGGGTAGGAATCTCTGCTGACAGACATCCTCAGTGTTCCTGTACAGTGTGTCCTGCCAAGGTCTGTGGGAATCACAAGTGGGGATTTTTTTATAACTGATGATGTAGAATGTGCAGTTAGTTAGAGCTGTGTTCTTAGTTATCTAGTTCACGTCACTCAACATTTGAAAAGAATCATCTTTGAAAAACTGCTTAAGCTCCAAATGGTTGTTTTCTCTTCAGGGCTTTATACATAGTCTTCATTTTTCAGGCATCTCCTCTTTGTTCTTACCTATTTAATTAAGTTGTAGTTAGGGGTGAGAATTAAAAGCAAAAAGCTCTTCTTTGTTTATATCTACGTCTGTTCTTTCTAGTTTTAGATATACTAATCCCAGTTAATCTTTGATGAGGAATTTCCCAGTTTCTTATTCCCCCAGAGAAGCAAGTCATGTTAGCCCTCCCCTGGGCCCCTCTGCTTTCGGTAGATAGCTGTGCTGTGTTGTGCTATGCTGTCCACTTCTGTCACTCATTCTTCTTAACAAAACCTTCAAAAAGTCTTAAGACTATGCTTTCGGAAGCTTTCCGAATGTTAGAGTCAGCTTTATAAATGAAGTCTCCTATGCCAGGCTGTTAAAGAGATGTTCCAACTCTCCATGGAGGACTTCAACTTCTTGGTATTAAAGTGAAATTTTAAAACAAAACAAAAACCTGCTATGGTTGAGCTTGAAAGGGAAGTCGCAGTTTTTCGTTGTGTAATTGAAATCGGAAACCTTGGCCTCTGGTTTTGAAAAGACCTTCTAGTTATTTGGCGAAGATGTGTTCATTGCCCTCCCATATACATTAGTTTTAAAGTACTCTTTTCATAATCTGCCCATCAATATTAGAGAATTGTAAAAACAAATGCTTTGTGCCAATAACTCCAGTATTAGACAAAAACTGTTCAGGAAAAAAAAAAAGAAAAAGATATCCTTCAGCCAGAGGAAAGTGTAGACCATTTATTATTTGCAGTAGAATGGCCTCCAGGCTTTCTCCTTTTCTGGTTTCTGAGCTGACTCTAATTTTAATACTGCACATCACACAATCTGCACAGTGTCTGTGTGTGCAGTGAGGGGTCTCATCTGTCTTTGTGTCGCTTTGCTTGCACATGTAGTATGACTGCATGTGCTCCTGAGAATGTGTTTGCATTGTTAAGTGTGTGAAATTAGACTCCCCTAAAAATAAGCCATGCTCTGGACACCAGGGTGAAGTATACCCCTTGCCTTCTTTCTCTAGGCCTTGCTACCGGAGCAGCGAGCAGTGCACTCAGACTCCTACAGAAGGATTGGGCACCTCTGAAAACTGGGCTGCTATTGATGCCATTTGTTACCATGATAGTCTCCAATGCGCGTGCGTGCGCACAGACACACACACACACACACACACCACACACATGAGGTGGGGCATGTTGGAATCAAGTGCTCTTTTAAACTATGCAACTGTATTTCCACTGTTAAGCCTTCACAGTATTGTCTCTTATTTTTGTAGACATGATAGACTATGAATCAGTCACAAACTTCAGCTTGTTACAAACCAGTTTATTTATATGGTGTAAAGAGTGGATTGCAGATTCTTGAAGGGATGTATTCTATATATTTTCTCATTCCATATGTTGTAATTATTTTTAAAAGAAGGTACTACTTTTATATATGGAATTTGAAGAAAATCAGGGTTATTTATACTGTTTTGTATAAGATGTATCATACTTTTTGACAGAAAAAAGGAAAATTTTGATGCAACAATAAAATAAAATTTAAATTATGTAACTGTTTTATTTGTTTTTCTTCTGCCTTCTCCTTTGCAATGCTCAGTGTTCTTTGAATTATCTGATACTGCAATTTTCTATTTTGCTTTTTTGAAGTAAGCATTATTCATTGTGTATAAACCTTAAAAAGCCATTAAACCTTTTAAAGCACAGCCTTATTTTAAAAGCCAAACATCCAAGGCCCTATTTACAGATATTTACTTTGTATATTAAGCTTTACCAACTACAGATTTTGTCTTCAAATTGGCCACATGACTTAGGGCTATTATTTAAATCCAAGCAAATAATGGGTTTCAACTCATGTTTGAGCATTCTACATTCTTTTCAAAATAGGTCTTTTAAGGAACATTTAGCTGTCACCCAATTGTTACCATCTGAATCACAATAATACAATTAGTACTAGTAATCTTAAGGACCTGAAGTATCTTCTGAAATGTGAGATTCCTGGTGTGGGTGTTTTTGTACTGGGCAGTCTCCTCTCTCTTGAGGTCACTTAGCTTCCTAAGCTCATGGTCTCCTTATCCCATCCCTTGTGCCAGGAGAGGAGAGGCCATGCCTCATGTGGTTTTATCTGGGTTGATGTCTGAGATTGTTCACTTCTAATGTGCTCTGATGATAAATGCGTCCTCTAGTGAGATGCTTGCTTCACACTGACAAGTAGCTGGGAAACAGATGAGGGGGGCAAACTGGCAGGAAGAAGCTGATTATTATGAAGGAAAAACTAACTTTTGATGGTCACCAGTCATTTTAAAGGAAAAATGAGAGGCCTGTGTTGCAAGCTGATTGGAAACATTAGGCAACCCCAAGCAAACCCAGTGTGTGCAATGTTTAGAGCCCCACAGTATTGCAGGACCCATGTCACAATGGAAGGTTGGTCACCTGCTTTGATTTACCTTGCATACCCACTGTATTGAGTGCACATGGGTATTAATTACGGATTTAAGAATTTGTATCAGGGGACGGTGGCATGACAGGTAAGAGTCTTTGTTTTTCCTTTGACTCCTCTGTGATAGGGCTGCATTTCTAATGCATTCAACTGGTGCAGTGCCCAGAACTCTCATTTCATTAGAAATCCATCCTTCCGGTTACCAGCGTAAAGCATTGGCTGTGCTTTCTCTAGGTCCTGATGGGAAGAGTAACCACTAGTGCCCAAGTTAAGCATGATTTTCAAATGATCATGCTTTTTTCTCGCTCTCGTCCTTAGGGAAGCCAGGAACACCTTGTAAATCTCATGGAAGAACGAATGATAGAAGTTGAACAAAAACTGAAGCTGGTAAAAAGACTTCTTCAAGAGAAAGTGAATCAGCTCAAAGAGCAAGTAAGTCTACTCTACCACCTCTGCCTGTCCTGACAGGCCAGTTTTTATGGGTGTATAGGGTGTGTGTGTGTGTGTGTGTGTGTGTGTGTGTGTGTGTGTGTGTGTGTGTGTGTGTGTGTGCTCGAGCGTGCATATGTGTGTGTTTTGTGTGTATCTGTGAATGTGCATGGTGCACATCTGCATCTGTGTATCTGTGTATGTACGTGTATGTGTACCTGTGTGTGTGTGTGTGTGTGTGTGTGTGTGTGCACAAGCACCATAGGCCAACCTCAAGTGTTGCTCCTCAGGAGCTATCCTCCTTGCCTTTGAGAGGACCTGGGTCTCTCTGATTAGGATAGTCCTGTGTCCTCCTCAGCACAGGGCTTGCCAGTGTGCACAATCACTGTACCCAGGCTGTTTATGTGGGTACCAGGGATCAAAGTCCAGCCCCCAGGCTTGCAAGGCACTCACTTTACTGGTTGAGCTATCTCTGCAGCCCCAATGTTCCAGACCTAACTCCAGATTTTGTATGCTTTTTGTTGTTGTTGGGGTTTTTGTTTGCTTGTTTGTTTGTTTGTTTGTTTTGCTTTGTTGTTGTTGTTTGAAACAGGGCCTTTTGCAGTCCTGGATGTCTTAAGGCTACTCTATAGATCAGGCTGGTCTCGAACTCACAGAGATCTGTCTGCCTCTGCCTCCCAAGTGCTGGGATTAAAGACATAACACCACCACCACCCAGCCAGATTTTGTATCCTTCTATTACTGTTAATTTGTGTTGTCAAGAAAAGTTAATTCTGCTGATAATGTCTAGTGAACTTAGGAATCATTTTCTTTTAAGCTCCAAAATAGGAATTCTGCATTCTACATTTTTTTCTAAAACTCCTTTGAGGCCTATTTATCCAGAATTTTGCAAATGTATATATATATATTTGCTAGCAGCGGCTCATATCCAATGTTCCTAATGAAGTTCAGTAGCTCAAACTAAATACTAACAGATTTTTTTTCATCCAAGATATTAAATACACATCTCTAAATAAACAGAAAACGATATATTCACTTTTAAAAACTGGGTCATAATGGAACTTTGGTTTTCCTGTTCCCAGCAGCTTGTGGCTAACCTCCAAAGGTGCCTTACGGCTAATGAAATGGCCCAGGGGGTAAAGGTGTCTGCCAGCATGCCTGACAGCCTGAGTTCAGTACCCAGAACCCACATGGTAGCATGGAAACACCAGATCCCAGAGGGGTCCTCTGACTTCCCTTCCATTAGCCCTTAAACCTGAGAGCGGTTGACACGAATGCTTCTGCTTCTGCCCTAGCTCTGCAAGAATACAAAAACAGACGCCATAGTGAATGATTTGTATGTTGAAAACGCCCAGTTGTTGAAAGCTTTGGAAATGACTGAACAGCGACAGAAAACAGCAGAGAAGAAAAATTACCTCCTAGAGGAGAAGATCGCCAGCCTCAGCACCATTGTCAGGAACCTGGCACCAGCACCTCTGGCTTCCACACCTCCTTTGAGGTCATAGCCAATACCAAAGGATGCACTTGCATGTGTGTACTGTACTGACATTCATGGAACACTTCCCTCCGTTCTCCGAACCCTCTGAAAACAGCTCCCAATGGCTGACAGTCAAGCCAGCAATGGAATTCTCCAAATGGATGCTTACAAGAATTCCACAAATCTCGCGTTTCACTATTGAAATTACTCATGAGAGTTAAAGTAACTTTTAACATACTTTTAAAGTATGTTCTGGATAGCTACCAAGAAGGAAAATAATTTAAGAACTTAAAATCCCAGTTTTTATTGGTTTTGAATTGCTATTATCTGTATATACAATCCAGATTCCTTTTAAGATTGGGATCTAACTAGAATGGTTATTATATTATTATAATCTTTATTTTTTTTTAAAAAATTTAAATACTATAATTATTATATTTCTAATAGTTTTGTTTCTTTAAATGAATTGGCTGACTGCAGTTCTGCTTAAAGAGGACTTGGCTAGTAGCTAGCCACTGAGGTCAGAAAAGTCCAAGTTTTGTAGAATTCTGACTTCTGGTACCTGTTCTTGCTGCTCTTGCTATATAATAGATTCAGAGCTGATTTCCTCAACTGCACTCTTAATTAAGGATAAAGTTCTACTTTATTTAAATGGCCCTTTCTCCATTGTTTGGGACTTTGTGTTCTTAAAAATGGATAAACCTGAATTTTAAAAATTTGAACTCTGGGGAGACCACTGAACAGCCCAATTTGGGGTAAAAAGCCACTCCTGAAGGAAGATTACATGGAGTATCATGGGGGTGGTTTCCTCCCTCCCAAGCCTTGGAGTTCATGGACATAGCTTTGAGTTTGCATCAAGAGCTCAGGGAACAATATTGAAACTGTCTTCCTGAACTTCTTGCTGCCAGCCTCTCTAAGAACTGGAGATGTGTAACCCACAGGACCTTATTTCTCTTATATATTAACAGCCATGGGATTTTTATTTCTATATTTTAGTGCACTTAATAATCTAAAAAGGCCTTGACTTTGGAGTTTAAAACCTGTCCAATTTGTAGAAGAGTTTTTACTGTTTGTTTAATGCAGGTCAGGCTTTCCATGCTTCTGACTTTTTGATACCTCACATCTGAGCATATGGATTTCATACTGTAGAGAACATTAGCGTACCACTGGAGGTGAAGGAGCAATAATGGGACTTTACACACACACACACACACACACACACATACACACACACAGTGGTTGGTGGAGCACTGGCCAGGTGCAGGACACTACCAAAGCTCTTCTCAACCACCTTTGTGTTTCCATGGGGAGAGAAATTAAAAGAGTTGCACTTTATTACAGGTACAAGAGAAAAGCAAACCATCGATTATGGGCAGGAACACAGGATAAGTGAAATAGACTAAGAGGTCAGGTGATGTGCAGAAATCTCAAGTCATTTCCATCGCAACTCTTTGGGAATCTTTAGGACCCAACTGTTTAGTCCTGAAGCCCAGGGCCCACTCTACAGGGCTCTGACATGGCACACCGTCTGTGGTCCAATAGGTCACACTGGCTTTGCCCTACTGCTACTATCACCAAATTCCGCTTTCCCATTGGGAAAAGAATCCTTCCTGTAACTATACATCTGAATATTTGGCACTTGGCATTAACTCTCCTCTCTATTTATATGGCCTTAACTTTATATTTAGCAGAAAATAGTTTCACTTGACACTGTGGGTAGGCTAGGCTAAGGTGAAGTACTTATGAGAAATGTTTCAGGTCCTCAAGGTCAGTGTCACTGAACGGAACAAGAAGCATATTTCTCCAGTGTTGGCTCGGCATGGGGCCATGCTTGTTGTGCTTTTTTCTTTTTATATTATGAAAAGTGTAGGATAGTGTTTCTTATACATTTGTATTTATGTGTACATAAAGTGATGTACAATGACTGTAAATGGGACTTTTTGGAAGTTTGAGAGTGCGTTTAGAATTATTTCATCCGACATCAAAATGCTACTCTAGTAACGTGTTAATTTCTTGCTTTACCCTGCTTATTAAATGGGGGTGGGGAATCAATATGAGAAATACTCTACAGATACCTTAAATTTATACATTTGTATAGCAGTGTATATTTGAAACCATTTGGAGCAGGAGTTTAGCTGGCCATTAGAATAGCTTAAAGCTTAAAAGGCAGCAGATGTACAATACTAGAATTCTGTGCAGTTCACTTTCAGACTTTGGCTCTCCCCAAAATCACAAGTTTGTGTTGTATGGTCATTTGCCTACTTTTTTTTTAAACACTGGTTTTTAAACTTTACTTTTATTTAAGAACAGTTCTGTAAGAGTAGCGATACAATTCTGGACTCAATCTGAGGACCTCCATTGACCTGTCCGCTGTTTTCTGCTTTTGAAAAGCCTTACTCTCCCCCACCAAGGGGAGAAAGGGTTTGCTTTATGTAAAGCCTTTTACAGTCAAAGTGAAGTTTGTAAAGGGAGAGCAGTAGGAGGTGCGGTTTAGAATGAACCTCAGTATTTCCATTTGTTTTTCCAAAACTCTAATTTCAGCTAAGCCATGGTAAACGTGAATCCCTCCTTGAAGCATCCATGTGCTTATATAAAGCATGCCATCAGCATGTTTTATATAAATAGATCATGAAATCATAGGCTTCAAGGAAGACATCCTACAGGTCTAGTGTTCCGGCAATAATATTCAGGGGTTTTATATAAATAGATCATGAAGTCATATCTTTAGGGTATAGGAGGATGTCTTACAAGTCTAGTGTTTCAGCAATATCAATATTCAGGACAGGTATTATTTTGAGAAACCTTTTTTTAATGAAATGACTAAGTCCTCTTGGGAAACTTTTTTTTTAACATGTGGAAAATGAATTTGTGGTTTCCCTTTTGCTTTGCTGAGTAAAGAAAAAGAAAACACACTGCTGTTGTCAGCATCTTTTAAAGGCATCTCAGTCAAGGAGCATCTGAGTGCTCTCAAGTACAGTATTAAGCAAGTGGTGTTCTGAACGGATTACCTGCCATTGTATAGCACTCCAGTGAGTCATTAAGTAATGCCAGAAACCAGGTCTAAGCCTTGTCACCAAAACACTCATGCTGGGAAGCCAGAACATTGTGGTTGGCCCTGTTTGAATATCTCTGCACTGTGAGGACTTGGATCCCGGGATCTGGACAGCTAATTAGTAGCAAATTAAAGTTGCCTTTTTGTTTGTTCATTTGCTTGCTTGCTTTTTAGTTTTTTGAACGAAAAAGGTAAATTTATTCTCATTACCACAGCATGATGTAAAGGAATATTAGTTTTATGAAAGAAAACGAGTATCTAGAGCTAATCTCCAGAATTATATTCAGATAAAGATTAATGTGAATATGTTTGTATCAGGTTTGTACAGTTCTTTTTAGCCACTCTATCCCAGAAAGATTTTTTTAATGTGAACTTAAAATGTAAATAAATAATTTTGCAAACTCTGGTTTTCTATGTCTTGGAGTTTTGATGAGCAGTTTCAATGTTTATCATTAGCCTTTTAAGTAAAGCTGTCAAAATGTTACAGGAAACACATTCTACAAATACAGAATCAAGGTCCCACTCTGCATGCTCACAACCATCATTTTAAGAATATTCCCCCAGGGGACTTTAAGAAATGGTTCATCAGATTGCTCACTACTACCTGTTACTCCAGCGCCAGAAGATCCAGCGCCCTCTTGTGGCCTCCAAGAGAACCTGCATGCATGTGATGCACATAAACTCATGCAGGTATTCATACACATAAATTAAGCAAATCTTTAAAAGCACAGAGACTCATTCCCTTCCTGTCAAGGAAGGGATAATATTCATACCAGTCAGCTTGTGGTGTTTGTGCTCTGTAACAGTGGATAATTAACACACAATCTTAACTTAGACTGAGGCAAGGCCCTGCTTGGCATCTGGGATGCTTCAGAGGTGAGCTGTGCCACATTGCTATCTTAAAACGTAAGTAATTCAGACTTCCTTAACCGAGATGCCCATAACAGATGATATAGGTGGTTAGAGACCTCAAAAAGTAAACCTAGAGGACATTGTTGATAACTAAGTACTGCCCAGCATTTGGGAAGCATAGGCCAGTGGATCTCTGTGCATTTGAGGTCAGCCTGATCTATAAGAGTTTCAGGACAGCCAGGGCTACACAGAGAAACCCTATCTTTAAAAAAATCAAAACAAACAAAAAATACCAAACACTGAAATGTAGGTTGGAAATATTGGCCAACCTAGGCCCATCTCAGAGGCCATGTTTTATTCATTGTCAAAACTTTTATATCACCTTCATACCCACTGCTTTTTTGAGGCAGGAACTACTTATCCCCATTTAACATATGGGAAAAATTGAAGCTTGCAAGGCTATCCTGCCTGCAACTAGAGAGATCAGTATTCAAGGCCCTACAATATGAAATGGGCAGTTGTGGCACATGCCTTTAATCCCAGCACTTGGGAGGCAAAGGCAGGTGAATCTCTGTGAGTTCACAGCCAGCCTGGTCTACAAAGCAGGTTCCAGGACATCCTGGACTGGGAAACTCTGTCTTAAAAAAACAAACAAATAGATCCTACAATACTTCTATCAGTTCCTACTTGCCGCAGAACAGTATGCCATCAGGGTTGATGTAGTAGCTATGATGTAATTGTACTTTAGGAACAGTCCTGAGGAGGAATAGCCAAAGTGGCAGAATAGGAGTTCCCAACATTCTTCCACTAAAGAAGAGCAAAAATAACCAGTATACTGCAATCCACACTGCCACTCTACCCCCACGTCTCGCCTGACCATAGTGGGACGACGACCCTGAAGACTGGTCTCATACCATGGAAAGAACTGAGACAATAAACGTGGTATTGGGAGTCTTTCTGATTGCATTGTTCCTAAGAATTGCACAGAAAATCTGAAAGATGCGCATTCTGAAGTAGAGCAGTGAATGGAAGAGAAACTAGGTGATTTCTCTATTAAAGATCAGTATCACCAGGGCATAGACACTAGATGGTTCCCTGCAGATCTGTCACAATGGGACCTCTTTCCTCTGATCCTACTGCTTTGGTATTGCCCACGGCTAACCCTCACACCTGCTTCCCATTTCATAGTTCTTTGTTCAGGATACACTCAGTCACCAGAGCCCCTGCCTTAAGAGCAGGGTACTTGCCGTGTCAGCCTTTCTATATCCACCTGGAACAACGTCGTACATTCAGAAGACAATGATATCACTTACTGTTTTAATTTTTTCTATAAGGAAAAAACTATTTTTATGTGTATGAGTGTCTTGGCAGCATATATATATGCACACCGTATGTACATGTGTGTGCCTGGTGACCACCAAAGTCAAATGTGGCCATCAGAACCCCTTGAACTGTAGTTACAGATGATTGTGAGCCACCATGTGGTTGCTGGAAATCAAACTTGGGCCCTTTGCAGGAGCTCTTAGCACTGGGCCAACTCTCCAGGCTAGAAGAGATTTTTCACCTTCTGAAACATGTCTCATCACTTACAAGGGATAAATTTTTCTTCTTCTGGTTGCTGATTTTCTAGATGACAAATTTTCAAGAGATCCTTTGGGTATCCTTCAGCATTTTTGCCAGTCTGAACTCATTTTGTTAATCTTGCTGATTGTACTCCCCAGGGCTGGGCCACACTTGGTCCTCTTCCTGGAATGTGGTCCTGTCTTGGTCCTGTCCACATTTTTAACATCTGAGCTAGATGAAAAGCACTATGTTCAACAACACAGATGCGAGGCCTCTTCTTTCTCTTTGAGAGCACTTGCATTACACTTACAGGGTTAGAGTTTGTGGTTTCCTTTTACTGATTTTTCCCTGTATGATCTAATGCTTTATGACTTTGTCTTTAAAAAACAAAACAAAACAAAAAGTCCTGTCTCTGACATTTTGATGTATTTCCTACTAACCCTCTTTTCTTGGTATCATCTAAGTGCTTATTATATTGTAAACTAATGGAATGAAATGATGCCTACTTTGTAAACTTGTTTTTTAAATAAAAGTTCATTTAAGCTCCTAAAAAATTCCTGTCTCCTTGAATTTTATATCCACTCATTCAAGCCCATTTTTCTTCTTTCGATTAGAACTCCACCTCCAGTTAGTTTCCTAGGGATCCAGTTGCTGACTTTCACCAACAATTCCCTCTTTTCTGGAATTTCACAGGTACATACCCATAACCCCTGCATTTAGGAGACTAAGACAAAAGAACTATTGATGCTGGCCTGGGCTACATAACAAGACTATCTCAGGAAATAATTTAATATTTGAACATTTTGTCATCTAACATGAACCAATAATTATCAGTGTCACTACACTGAAGTTTTCAGAGAATATTATATCATAATTGTATTCCGTTTTGTATTAAAAATGGAAAACCAAAGAGATAAAACATACTAACATCAGTTTTCAATTTTATATACAATATACTGTACTACAAGCTAAAATACAAAAATGAAATACAAAGTCTTTGTTTCAGTCAGTTTTCAGTACTACAAGTGAGGCAGATAAACTAGCAAAAGACAGTTTCACCTAAGCTGATGTGCTGACAGTTGTAGGTAAGTTTAGAATGTTATTTAATGTTTAAACCCTCAGACTTTGCATATATATATAAAATGGGAATATTAATGCTTGTGCCTATGGACTATGCAAAGTTAAATAAAAACATGTCAATGTAAAATAATTCAAGACCCAGTAAATAGTAATTATATTCTAAGAGTTCAAGAAGTATAGTTCATGGAAACTAGGGGATGCCCAAGACCCATTTCAGTAGATCCATGTGGCTGAGGTACTCAATAGAAGGCATTGTTGTTTCTTTCTCTGTGTTGATATTTTCATTGAATGTATAAAATCAATAATGGATAAGTTTAGTGATGTTCTAGTATAAATAAAAATGGTGGCACCAAACTATACTAATAGTCATTGCATTTTTTTCTACCATACACTACTGTTAATATGTTGGTAGTCAAGAGACAAATTTTACTCAAGAATTTCCTCAATGAAGCAGAAGAAAGGGTTAACTTTATGTAATCTCCACCTTTCCATATCCATATTTTAAATATTCTATGAGACAAAATGGGAAGTACATATAAGGAATGATAAGTGTCTCAATCAAGAACACTGGTATAACTCTTGATGTCAAACTAGTTGCTCATGCTTCGTGGAATACCATTTTTTCTTAGAGTGGTAGACAAATGACACTTACTCAAACTCTGGATAACATGGTAAAATAAGTAAAGTAGAGTTTCAAAGCAACTGATTATATTTGCTATCAATGATAAGATTAAAATTTATTTTCTTAATTATGTCTGCAAAGTCCATTTTTCAATGCAAGGTCGTCACATGTCCTGGGGATCAGGGCATGGAAATCTTTGGAGGATAATTAATTTGTCTATCTAGATCACCATGACTTGGGCATGATTAACAAACTTGAGCTGATGTTTATGGACCATTCTGTAAACAGCATCAGAAAACATTCTTTCTAAGTATATATGAACATTAATCAAGAGAGATCATGCTTGATGCTCTACTGCAATTCTCAGTATATGGAAAAACGATTCACATCATATGATGGACATTCTATGGCTACAATTAGGTCAGAAATTAGCAATGCAAGGAGAGCTTGTTCCTAATTAGCTCCTATAAATTAAATAACCCATCTTTTTATTAACCTACATTGTACCACATGACTTTTACCTCTATTCCATTCTCTGTGTCAATTTGTTCCATGTCTGGCTGGATTCTCTGCCTCTCTTCTTCCCAGAATCCTCTTTGTGTTTGGAAGTCCCGCCTATCCTCTGCTGCCTAGCTATGGACCATTTAGCTCTTTATTAAACCAAACAGAAGGCGCCTTGGCAAAAACACATCTTTGTAACGTGTAGTCTTCCTTGCCAACTGCCTGGACCCTGCCACAGTTGCAGTCCCCAAATAACACACAAGACACTATATTAATTATGAAGCTGTTGGCCATTTGCTTGTTTCTTACTGGCTATCTCTGACTTAACTATTTAAGCCATAATTGTTAATCTAAGTATTTCTCTTATCAGAGAAAATGGTCTGTACCTCTTACTCCTCTGGTGGCCTAAATTGTGTCTGCCTGTGTCTCTCTTTCCCAGAATCCTCCTCGACTCCTAGTCCCACATATCTTGCTTCCATATTGGCCAACAGTGCTTTATTCAAACCAATCAGACACATTTTTACAGAATGACATCTCCCAATATCTCCTCTTTTCTGTCTAAAATAAAAGAAAGGTTTTAACTTTAGCATAGTCAAATTATATATAGCAGAACAGTTATCAAGTAAGAACTATAGTTACAATATTTTGTCTATTAGCATTTAGTAAGATTTAAAGAAAGTATTTTATTATCTATCCTATCTGTGTGAGTCTCAAGTCTTATATGTAGCTTAACTTTTATCATAACTAAGGAAAACTATGATTATAACTATCTATCTTCAACTCATCAA